GACGTTGACACGAGGATCGTGACGGCAACTGGGAACCCAGCGAGGAGGCTCAAGCCAAGATCGACCGGATGGAAGCTCGTGAGGCAGCAGCGCAACAGGATGTCACTGAGGTACCGGACGCCAACGCTGCACCGGATCTCGTTTTGCCTTCGACTCGTAGTCCCAAGCGCAGGGCTAGTTCGGTGTCATCTCAATCGGATTCAGCCACCACTGGGTCTGGCAAGAAATGCAAGAAGTCTCGACTTGGTGATGAACGCAAGAAGTCTCCACTCGCTCGCAAGGAGATGAAAGATCTTACTCCTGAAGAGCTGACCGTGATCGAGGAACCGGGTCGAGGCATCACTTCGTGGCGCCACAAGGGCATCCTGACCACTTTTGCACCCAGTACGACTTACGCCGTCTACGAGTCCGCAGGTTTCCCTGACTACGCACCGAACCACAACGGCGGGACGGGGCCACTCAAGGATCGCTTCAATGTGGACGAGTACCGGGCGATCATGGAGACCCGACCGGGCGAGCGGATGTACAAGCGTCGTGTCATCAACCTCCTCTTCCACAAGCGTTACGCCTTGGGAGTGACGTCGTGCTGACCAAGATCGTGAAGTTCATGAAGGACAACGCGCTGGTCATCTGGTACGCGGGACACTGGGTGACGTATCCGGAGGACTCGTCGTATGGGGTGAAGGAGAAAAAGAAACGCAAGGGTCTGCATGATCCTGCCATCAAGAAATACGCCGAGTTGATCACCGAACTTCTGAAAGCAGGAGCCCCGAAGACGATTCTGTACGAGCCAGGCATCTGGGTGTATCCTGCGAAGGTCTGTCCCTGGATCCTGTTTGACAAGTCCGAGAAGAAACCGGATGGGAAGCCGTACACGATGGCCGAGCAGCTCGAAATCCTGGATCGCGAAGAACCGGCTCGCATCCAGTGGACAGGGTGGGCCCTCGATAGGATCATCGCGGATCGTCCGACGCACATCCGGAAAATGCTGCTGTCTCCCGATGAGCGTGCCAACAACTGGGTCTGCACTGATCACCGTAGCTAGTTGCACACTCGGTGTAGCCACAAGCTAATCTCCACAATTTCATGTCATTCACGTTCATCACCTCACTCCTTCGTCTTAGTCTTATGTCATGCAGTCCGTCTGCTCGTCATTCTGTCGCTCACTCCATTCAGGGGCGCAGTCACTGGTCGATTCAGTCGGTATCTTCATCTTTCCACTACTCCACTCGAATTCTCTACAAATTCAGCGTCGGCAGTTCACAATCAAAATCACATTCAGTTTCAGTCAGGTCACACGTCGGCGGTCAGGATCGAGTGTTCAATCCGGTACTAGACACTGGGGTGGTCATCACCAGCCTGCATAGACTGGAACCTGGCCTTAGCACGGGCACTCTGATTGAATTCATACAGAAGCTCATCACAATTGAGCCTGGTCACTGGTAACCACTCAGGATCGTCGTATCCTTTCCACTTGATCAGGTACTAGCGGAATCTCTTGGAAGTACGAGTGCGCTTGGCCCACCGGAGGTCCAGAATCTTTTCCACTTCGTACTCATCATTCTGTTCGTCCGGCTCCCAGCTGTCCTCGGGCAGCAGGGCTGCATCGAAATCGTCGTCATCATCCAGATCGAGTTCCGCGGTAGGTAGCTTCGTAAACAGAGCGCGAGGCTTGAGGCGGCTGATGTGTACCCAGGGGTAACACGATATCCTGTGTCCTCCACCTTGAGTTTCACTCTGAAGTCATCGTGTACCTCTTCGATCCTGAACGGCCCATGCCACATGTGAGCCAGCTTGCTGCTCAATCCGGTCTGGACTTTCGGGCTGTAGAGCCATACCGAATCACCCTTCTCAAATCCTGTCTTCAGCCTCTAGGACAATTCTCTCCACTTGCGTGTCTGTTCTTCCGATCGTGTTCGCTTCGCTTGTCTCTGGAGGTCCTCGGCACAGGCTATTGCGTAGCTGTAGTCGCGCTGAAATTTCCGACGCCACTCGTACGCAGTGCGTTCAGGCACACTAGATGCTTTCGGACCTAACATCGCCGTCACCGTGCCTTGCGCATCCCAACCGTGTACCAGATAGAATGGAATGTCCAATCGGGTCGCGTCGAACGAGGTGTTGAGGGCGAACATCAGTCGCTCAGCGTGATCATCCCAGTCAGACTGGTCAGACTCAGCGATGTAAGCGCGGACGCTTCGGATGACGGTCTGCACGGACGATATGCCAACGTGGCGCGCTGACGACTGCCGAGTAGCTCCCGAAACCGAGTGAAGACCTCACTCATGAAACGTGGGTCTTGATCGTGTCTGATCATCGACGACGCACCGAAATTCCGGAAGACTCGCTCTTCATAGGCCTCTGCTACATCCTGTGCCGTAGTAGACGACATGGGTTTACACATCACGTAATCAGAGAATAAATCATGAAAAAGCAGTAGGAAGGTGTTCCCTCGTGCCGACTTGGGCATGTGCGTCACAAAATCCATCAACACAACTTCAAACGGGCGCCTGGGCTCGATGTTACCAGGTGACGGTCCAGGGTTGGGAGGTCGCCCCTTTCCACTTGCACAGTCAACGCACTCCTTCACGAAACGTTCCACGTCGGCATACATGCCGGGCCAATAGAACTCGGGTAACCGCTCGTGGGTGCGGGTAATTCCCTGGTGTCCACCTTGAAAGTCCTCGTGAGCGTAATGCAGCAAGTCAGCGTGCAGTGTTTGTGGCACCACAAGACGTGGCTCATCCTGTACGTCCCGAGGTCGATCTCGAGTAGACCGCGCGAGTCGATACAGGATGTCTCTGGCATCCAGTGCAAACAAGTCCGAGAGCTTCGCGATCTTGCGAAGCCGCCTCGAAGAGAATCGATCCAGGTCGCCACTCAGATACGCTTTGACTTCCGAAATGAACTCATCCTGATCTTGGTGTGCCTTAATCCTGCGCCACCTCTCGGCTTGGAACTCCAACGGACCCAATGGGCCACTCGACTCTGTCTGTTCCTGTGTTCTCGATCTGGTCAGGACCGCCATGACTCGAGCACAGTGAGGTAACGGAGCAGAACCGGGGTCCTGTTCGACATTGTCTGGTGACCCCACATCCGGTGTCACCACCTTCTTAGCAGCCGATCCATCTGGTGCATCCTGAACTCCCTCACTCACATCCTGCGCCACAACCACTGGCTTCATCAGCTTTTCGTGGATCTTTGACACTCGCTGCAGATGGATTCGTTCCTCCTCATCCTGGACAGTCCACGTGATACCCAGCGCCAGCGTCTTGGAGGTCAGGTAGTCCGCGGCCGAATTGTATTCACGTTTCACATGAACGAGCCGAAGCGTACTGAATCGTCCTTCCAGAGTTTTGCACCGAGCCAGATGTCGTTGAAGGTTGGGTTGGTTGCAGTTAATCAGCCCTTGGACTTGTTGTATCACAATGCGAGAGTCTCCAATCACGATCAGGTCTTGAACGCCCCGATCCAGTGCCATGGTCAGTCCATTCAGTATGCCGTGATATTCTGCATCGTTCACAGCGACATCACTCAGGATGAAACCTTGTGCATCCAGTACGCTCAAACCAGGCAGGCTCCACAGGATGCATCCGCAGCTTCCTTGGCGAGTCGACGTCTTGGCTGCTCCATCGAAGCTTAACGCAATCCCCTCAAAGTCAGCGACCAACATCTCCATGCTCACCACCGGTGGTGGCTTGACCCGCCCCTTGGCTGGAATCAGCGACTCTGCGATCCGGTCCAAGTGCTCTCGGGGGGTAATACCCGCACCGAGTATAGCGGCTAGACCGTCTTCATCTCGCTGAATTCGGCGAACTTCCAGGTCCCACTGGGAAAGAGTGACGCCCCATGGTACGCAACGTCCATCCGCCGACTTGGACTGAATCACCCACTTGAGTACCGAATAGCGGGTGTACACGATTATCGAACATCCTTCCAGGATCGTCCTGAATACATCCAGTACTCTCATGATCGCGATGACTTCCTTCTCCGCAACGTGATATCGGACTTCCGAGTCATTCAGTACACGCCCCGTGAAGTGGACGGGCTGAATCAGTCCGTCATACTCTTGACCGAGGACTGCACAGGCTGCCCACTGGTTCGCGTGAGGAATGATGACGAACGGCTTGGTCCGGTCCGGATGACGTAACAATGGGGTCGACACGATCTTCCGCTTCAGGATCTCGAACGCTTCCTTCGCCTTCGACAAGTCCCTACCGGATCGCACTTGGTCGTCGCTCAGCTCGTACGGGACTGCAGCTACCACCGGGAAATCCTCTATGAACTTGTGGTAGTAGTTCAGACTGCCGAGGAAGGACTGGATCCCCTTCAGAGTAGACGGGAATGGTAGATCCAGTACGCCCTTAGCGATCTTCGGCGTCGCCCTGAGTCCTTCTGCACTGATCTCATGAGAGAGATACGGGATCGAGCGCTTACCGAATTCACTCTTCGGTAGACTGACAGAGATGTTCCAATACCGCAACCGAAACAGTAGCGCATCCAGATCGATGCAAAGTTGATTCCACGTAGGCGCCCCATGCGCGATGTCGTCAATGTACGAGCTCCGTCCTAGGACAGGGCCCATCTGCATCGGTGCCGGGATGTTACGTTGGAACACAGTCATCTGGTCTGTCAGCGCGGGTAGACGTCGGCCAGACAGGATTTCGTCGTCCGATCCGGTGTCGCTCCCTGCGACGTTGTCCTCTTGCGGCTTCAAACCCAAATAATCTAGTACGTCCTGATCCACCTGAGCTTCCTTACCAGGTGGTAGTCGAACAAAGCCCCACAGACAGTTGTTGAGCATCTGCTGGTACACCAGCGGAGCATTCTTCAGACCAAATGGCATGCGTCGCCACTGGTAGTGACCGAACGGCGACACGAACGCCGAGATGAGCTTCGCTCCGTCATCCTGATCGCCCAGAAGCCGCTGGCCATGTCCAGACTCATAAACCACATCGCGCTCTCGAACCCGATTAGCAGGTCGTCAATGAGCGGGAGAGGATAGTTGGACAACTGGATGAACCCGTTCACGATCCGGTAATCAATGCACATCCGGATGTCGACCCCGTTCTTCTTCAGTACGATCACGATCGGTGACGCCCAGGGTGACGTAGATGTCTCGATCAATCCAGTCTCCAACAACTTCTTCAGCAACGCGTACACCTTCATCGCAAGGTGTGGCGCGACCGAGCGTGCCCTCTGTGCGACAGGCTTAGCGTCTCCACATCCAGATCGCAAACAACTCCGCGAGCTGGGGCAGGTGCCGCATTTCCATCACCTAAGAAGATACTTCGGTGGTACCTCAGGATGCCACGTAATCGGTGTTCGTCATCCGGCGTGCTCACGCCAGGTTCGCCAACATCAGCCTTGTCAATGTCGCACTCGGGACTTAAATCCTGCACCTCCGGGAGGAGTGCGAGTTGGTCTCGCAGCTGGGAGAGCAGATCGCTCCCTTCGTGAATGTACACGGCTGGTTCAAAGTCCAACTCCTCCACACTTAGTCGCATGACCCGCTCGTACTCTTCTTTGAGTTTCTGCACCGGAGTGCAGGGCAGGATACCGGATGGTAAGTCGGAGACATCCTCGTCGGTCACAGCTAGTGTGTCTTCCGACACTTCGTCTTCATCCGGTGTAACCGCGTCAAAGAAGTCCTCGTCATCTCCATCCTGTGCAACATCCTCATCCGGTGCGACAGCCTCGAAAAACTCTTCGTCATCCGATTCGGTGTCACTGGCGAAGTCCTCAGCACCACCCGGAGTCGCACTAGACGTCACAGTCGGGTCAGTCTCTGGTTCCTTCGTCAGCGGTGTTATGCGCTTGAAGCTCGGTTCTTTCTCAACCAGGTCCTCCACGACCGGATCCTCACCGAGTTCCACGATTCTGTCCGACTCGGTCACCGGATTCTGCAACACCGAGGTGAAACACGTCAGGTCCTTCTTCCCGTCCGGATGTAGCATCAACTTGGTCGGCCATGAGTACTGCGCAGGCTCCCCGGCGGGCGGTTCACGATCCCAGAGTGCTTGCAGCCGACGTTGTTCCCTCAGCTGACCCTGTTTGGACAAGGTGTTCTCGTAGATCATCACCTGCCACTCCTTGTATGCCCTCGATCCTGGACGGACGAACCGTCCTACGGTCGGAAAGAATCCATACTCCACAATGTAGGCCAGCGTGGTCCCGGCCACGATCCAGAGATTGTTGGACGAGATGTTTACGACCTTGACTGCCTCGGGCCAGGACTTCGCTCCGTACACGATCTTGGTCACCCAGCGATCACCACGTCCAGCCCACACCACTTCTCGCTGTGGGTTGGCTTGGCCGAACCGGATGCGCACAACAGCCTCCTCACCGGGTCGAAGGTACAGGGTCTCCGGCGCTTGGACTGGCAACCTCATTCCTTGTCGGCGTTGCACCTTGTCCCCGGACATGAGCACAGGCTCTTCATCCGGTAACTGCAGAAGTCCTTCTCGTACACACAACCGAACGCCGGCACAGAACATAAAGTTCATAGCCAATAGCACGTCCACACCTTCACCGATATTCGCAACCCAGATGTCCATGACGTACACCACTCTCGATCCGAGCGTGATCTTGACTTGCGTGCTAGCAGAGATGTAAGTGGTGTTGCCACCCAGTCCGGACACCTTGATCTGTTTATGCCGGTTGAGCTTGATCGTGAGTCTACGCGCAAGATCCAAACTGATCATACTCACCGACGCTCCGGTGTCCAACAAAATCTGCAAGCGGAAGTCGTTCACTGCGCCATGTACCGTAGCCACCTCATGCGAATCCTTGTCTGGCTCATGATCAACTCACCATCCATACCGCTCACCCGGTTCCAGCCGAAATTCGGTCGGTCCATCCGGTGCTCGCAATTCGGAACGGCTCAATCCAGAACGATCATCAACTTGGTCAGGCTGAATCGGGTCATCGTTGCTCAGAGAAATCATGCATTGTTGGTTATCTTGGTGGCTGATCCTCAGCTCTGGTCCGACGTAGGCTAACACACACAATTAAGGGGCCTTCAGCCCGGCGCGTATTGGGTCCCCACCCAGCGGGCTTAGTGGTTTAACGGCCCCCCTGAATTCGCCTTGTCATCCAATAGCTGATCCAGTAGGTTCTTCAGTATGTCCTTCAGTGCTCCTCCATCTTGTGCCAGCTTCTTCAGTGCTTCGATGGTCTTCATAAGTTCCCACGGTCCTTCATGAAATCGTTCACAAATCCTGCACGGGTTGACCTTGCACACGCGCATCGGGTGTCCGCGTCGGTGACAGCGATCACACACGATGTCTATCCAGCAATTCTCCTGTCGGTGTCCAGGCCTCTCGCACTTCTCACAGAATTCATTCCAATCAGGATTGCTTCTTCTCGGCGACTGCGGCGCGGAGGGCTGACCGAATCGAGACGCCCCTGACTGTTGGCCAGGTGGTGGCGGTCTCCATCCTGAGCCCGTCATCACACTGAACACTGCGTCACGTAGTACACCTTCATCCAGCACTGGCGGTACCAGGTCGGGATCCACCGGTCGTGTCGAGGCAGGAGGGACCGAGTCGTGCTTTGGTGCGACCTCGACTCTGTGTTCATCCACCTCGTCTTGGAAACGCACATGACGATCCTCTTCGTCTGATTCATCCTCGCTCTGAACGACGTAAGCGCGGCCAGGACCCTTCGGTATGAATCGCTCGCGTTCGCGGTCTCGATGCACGTTGCCCGCGCGGAAGTCGCGTGGTCTGGATGCCGAGTTCTCACGTCCGCTGTCCTGGTGATCGTCTTCGTATTGACGCAGAATGAACTCCAGGTCGTCGATGCTGTGCAGACGCTGGCTCTTCAGACTGGATCGAAGCTTCGACTCGGTCAGCTTCCGGATAAAACGCTTGATGTGCATCTCACGCGTCCTAGATGACCTCTTGAACTCCATATTCGCCTTGCAGGCGGCCGCATTCAGTCGGAAGAAGAAGTCAAGCGCCGATTCAGTCCGTCCTTGCTCGATCGTGTAGTACCTCTCCGAGTCGGACATCCTGGACCGGCAGTACTTGCGCTTGAACGCATGGGATAGCTGGGTCCAGTCGTCTCGTACATGCCTCGGCAATTGTGCACGCCAGTGGCGAGCGGATGTAGGAAGCTTCAGGCGTAACTCGTACACCTTCATGCTGTCCGTCCAACCACCCTGAACGGTCAAGGTGAGGAATCGCTCCCACCATCGTGTCCGCTCATGGTACGACGCCTTGTCGTCGAAGTCTTCGAGTGAGTTTGAGTTCACGTACGGCCGGAAGTTCATCACCGTCCTGCCGTCCTTCGTCGTCACCGACGTGGAGTGCGTGGGCACGTTCGCGAGCGAGTCGTCGGAGTCGCTTGAGCTGTAGCCTTCGTCGTAGCCGTCATCAGAGCTCGAGTCCGGGTCGGATCCGGAGGGGTCACCACTTCCGCGACTTCGCCCACCGGATGGACGCTTGCGCGGTCCTGACCTGGTGTCCTTCGCATCCTTGGCAGGCTCCTGCTTCACGGGCACCTTCTTCGCGTCCTTCGCGGGGGCATCCTGCTTGTCCTTCGCCAGCGCAGCTTGAACAGCGCGCGCCTTGGCTCCCGTGGTTGCTCTCGCCTTGAGAACGCTGTTGATCGTCGCCTGAAGTTGGGCTGCTAGAAGCTCGTCGGCCCGCGGCGTCGCAGACTGGATGGGCGCCTGACCAGACTGGATAGGCACACTGGATACTGGGTACAATGTCTCACGCCCGGTCTCTGTCTTCACATGCGACACCGAATCAGATCCCAATGTTGCTTGAGCCACTGGATTTTCCTGGCGTGTTGCACGAAGGTTGTGTAACTGGTGGGCCTGAAACCGCTGAATGTTCCGGGAAGATTCTCGCTCCCTCTCCCGCTCAGCTTCAATCTGGTGGACCTTCTCTTGGAATAAATCCAGTTGAGCGTTGAGTCCCCGTTGCACATCTTCGGCCCATCGGGTTCGTTCGGCTTCGGCTTGCGCTTCCTGTTGTCTCCAGCGTTCGGCGAACTCGGCGGCAGCGTGCTCGTGCTCCAGGCGTGCTGCCTCGGCGCGGGCGCTCTCGATGGTAGCCGCCACTTCATGCGCCTGCATCGTCGACATTGGAGACGTGCTGGGCACGCTGGGAGGCTCCGGGACTGGGGCGTCCGGCCTCGATCCGGTCTGCACACTGCCTTGAGGGGTAGCGGTGCGTCCGGCGAGCTCTTGGATCGCCTGGAACGCGCTGTGAAGACCTTCATTCAGTCGGGCCGCGTTGGCAGCGGATGCCCCCTGGTTCAGCTCCATCCTGGCCAGGGCTTCCTGCGTCTGGCGCATCGTGTTGAGCGCAACTTGGGACGCCCCGGACATCATGGACATCGCTGAGCGGCTTGATCGACCGGATCGAGTCGACCTGCTCGACCGACTCGGTGCGCGCTTCGATCTCGAAGACCTTCGGTGGCGCATCCGGTCCTCGTCACTGGAGTCAGACTCACTTGGTAACGGGCTTCGCCTCTCGTGCCTGGACGTCGTTTGCCGACCGGATGAAGCTCTCGACCTTCGGTCACTCCGGACGGTGGTGCGATCGGACTCCGACATAACGACATCGTCCTGCTTCACCGCCGCCGTCGATGACCGAGGGAGTGCTGTCCGGGTGATCTCGACGACTCCTCCGCCTGCACCAGACTGGATCGCTCCTGCCTGCGCGGTCATCACCATGGGTCCGTACCGAATCGCGGAGATGTGCCTCGCGGCATCGTGTCCGGACCACAGAGACGACGAAGACGAGCTGCCTCTGGACGATCGAGCTGCTGACGCCGCACTGAACGTCGACTCGTTGGATCCAGGCGTCGTCCCGAACAGGCTCGAATCAAGATCCGAGGGTGAACGAGATGGCGGACCCTGTGGCGCCAACACTCCAGTACCGGATGCGCGCTCAGACTCGCTGGACGCGTGGTACGACGAGAGCGAAGACAGCGACGGCGTGGACAGCGGCGGCGCAGCCGGGATCGACGACACGGACTGGGTGGACGGCGGGCGAGGCAGTCCGTGCTGCGGGCGCTTGGAATCCGGTTCGCCGGTGGACGACACTTGCGGGCCTCGTGTCCTCCGGAGGGCGGCCACTCGTAGGCGCAGGACGAACTCGCGACCCAATAGTCCAGCTTCGTAATCCGACATCAATAGATCTCCGTCGTTGTCTTCTGCATGGTAGTCCAGGATCGGTGCTCGCACAGCTTGTGACAGTGTCGATCCAGTGTTTCCAGAGTTCGACTCGGTCTGGTCTTGGGCGTCTGACGCATCCAGCACGATCTTGAAGGGCACACCGGATGCCAACTCGCGCCACTCGATCAGCTCGAACGCGAGGAAGTGCTGGACGTCCTCGACCACAGAGCGCACCAGACTCGGCGTGACTCTGGACGACTGCGACTGGAACCACATCGGGATCAGGTTGTGAAACCTGAAACCGGCAGCGAAGATGAGAGACTGGATGAGCGCAACGCACTCGCGCGGCGACAGGATGCTCGGCGGAATCACGATGCCGGAGACATCCTGTGCCAGGCACAGCTCCAGCCGTACCGGACCAAGCTCCGCGATCCACGCAGCGTCTTGACTCGCCATGGCCATTCGGTCCGACAGGTACTTCGACGTCGCCAGCGCGGCAGTCCACCATTCGGTGAAGTCGGGTGCCGCCTCGGGCCAGGCGTACTCCACCTTGAGCGGAAATGCTGAACTGGATCCGACCCGGACGTCGTGTCTCCTCCTCACACAACGAGCCATCTTGATCACCATCGCACGACACGCACTCGACTTGATCCCCCGTGGTCTGATCACAGCGTGCATTCGTGCAGTCAGCAAGCACTTGGCACGAGTTCTCACAGGTTGGCCCCCAGTACCCGTATTTGCACAAGCTACAAGATACAAGCGTCCCATCAACGGCGTTGCAACTTGCGCTACCGCTCGCGCAGTTCTGAGCGCTACAGGGCCGATCACACTGAGCTCCCCACCAACTGGCGCTGCACTGCGCCCCGATGTCTAGCCCCACGTAGTCGCTCACCTTAGCCGCAAACGTCTCATTCCTCGCTCGCTGGTAAACTTCGGCAACAAAGTCCGAGGCGTTTGGGTTAAGTTCACCGAGAGATGGAGGCACCGACAGCGTGAGGAAAATTTCACCCGTCGCGCGGAGACCTCAGTAATGTTGACGAATTCTGGGTCGATGTCGGTCATGCCAAGTGTCCACACGAGAATCGTCCGCAACGCGTCCATCTTCTCACCAGACAAAGCCGACACCGTATCGATCGCTGTGGAGAGAAGCACCTCCGCATCGTAGGCGGTGGCCACACACCCGCTGAACAAGCTGAAGCTGGACCGGTCCGAAGACGACAAGACGTCTAGCTCCGTCGTCGTGTTAACAGCGCGAGATACTGCGAGCGAGAGAGGGATCGAGACGTTGACTTCCCCATAACCGGCGTTGTCATTGTACTCCATGAAGTGAGGAAGCCGACAATCCCCTCCGTGCCACAGCGACGACTCGTCGAGATATTGCAAAAACAGACCTGAAAACGGGTCTGGGTATTGGAAGGTGCTGTTCAGCTCTACAAACACCAAGAATTCAGTCTTGACGCCCACTTTAGCAAGCCCATTTAGCAGTGACAGAGACGCCTGGAAGGACGGAGTTAACTCGAGGTCCATCTCCAGATCGATGCTGCTCTGAGCCAACTTGCTCGACGTGTTGGTCGTGATCTGCACGCCGTGGAATTTCTCGGAGCGAAGCGAACCCGCTGTTAAGCTTTGGAGCTCTGCAGTCGCACCGATGTTTACTATGGAGCCATGGGGTTGAAGCGACATTTTCCTGCGCAGATCCAGCCCCATTGTAATCTCGACGCTGATTCCCGTCTCGCCCAGGGGGATAGTGAAGCTCGCGTTCTTAAGCTGCGTCGTCTCATCCACAGTGTATCCATTCGGTACATACAGGGCCACTTGGAGGTTGGCGTTCCCCGTTAATTCCATCTCGATCGCTTCTTCAAATGACACCCCGACAACCTCTACATCTGCGAACATGGACGCGATGGAGACGTTCAGGAAGCAGTTCTCGCACGTGATGCGGCAACAGTTCGTGGCTGGGTCGGACGTGTCGGAGCAGTTGCCAGTCTCAAAGATCTGGTAGCCGGAGTTGCTCACAGTCACAGTGTCGTTCTCCAAGTTCCACGATAACGTACCAGTCGTCGTGTCCTCAACCGCGGTATAGCTCAAGACCCGGCATGAATCATCATCACTCGACGAGCAGTCGTAGCATTAATTTTGCTGGCAGCGTCTTAGTATCGCCTTCGTAGCCGCATTCAGTCGTGCAGTCGCTGTTCTTTGCGTAGAACTGCAACTTGCACTGCTGCTCCGTCCACTTACTGTCGACCTTAGCCCAGCACTTGTCGACGTCGATCTCCCCTACGTCGCCACCTTTGTCCCCGCAGTCGTATTTGCAGGAAGAATCCTTCACGAACCCAAACGTGCTCGCCTCAAGTCTTCGAGCTTGCGCTGTAGCATCGACCACCGACTCCGTCCGAATGAGGCTGGCGAATCGGTAGAATAGAATTTGATTCTGCAGTCTGGATATAGTTGACCGAAGGTCGCGTGTTCCAGCTCGAGCTTCACTCGACAGCTCCCAGGAGAAGAAATGACTGGTGACAGGTGCTTGGCAATGCTCAACACGTGAAAATACGCGGCTGTTGTGGCGAATGAAACCCCAAAGAACGAATCCCCGGCAACAACTCGCCCCACTGAAGTCTGTAGCGCTTGTTGACAGTCAGCAACGACTAGTGTAGCAACTGGTGCTGACTTTGACACGTCGGAGTTATCGGTCATAGTGTCGAACGTCTCCAGGTTGAGCACGTTGGGGTGTTGCCTGAGGTTCCAAAGTGCCGCTGTCGTCGTGCAGTTGTACGCGAGGTGCGTACTCGGAGTATCCCGACTCGGGACGGCCAGTTCGAGTCTTCGATCGCTTGACTGGTGAGAAACCGACGCCCCACCTGTAATTTCCGGAACAACGAACATGGATCCAACTACGTTGGTGTTGGCTGTAACGATGCGGTGCAGTCCACCCGCAAGAGTAGTGGTTCATAGAACATTACGCCGGCAGTTTTTTTCCTTACCGTAATTTACCACCGAGAACATTCCTGAAACCTTCTTTCGGGACAGCAGCGATTTCAACGACGACCCCTCTCGACCACTTGAGAGCGAGAGCCACGTCTTTTCGATATGAGGGTAGTTTTAGAACCTCTGAACCGGTCAGATCTAATAGACGTTGATTTGACGACGCCCACTTTATAGCGAGAGCCACGTCTTTTGGATCTTAGGGCGTTTCGGGACCGCTCGTTCAAACTACAATCTCCAATTATAGTATCGCCAGTATAGACAAATTAAAGCCCCCGTAACCTGGACATCTTACGTTTTCAATCAACAAATTTTGATCTCTCCAATTTCCAGCCAGCAATGACTGTTGCCTCCGTCAAGAGATTTGAACACGAATGCGTATGGCGTGCTCGTTACACCAATTTACCCACTCTGATTGGTTTAAAATGCGTCTGTCACAATTTGTCTCCCTCAACCAACAACAAGCAGCTGACGATGACAAGCAACCTGTGCCTCCCTGCTACTGCTGGACCTGTATTACAGACTCCGTCCCGTGGTCGCCTCGATGGAGACCAAGTTCGAAGTGCCTGCACTGCCGTCAACACGAAAAAGGCGTACCGAAGCTATTTAAAGGGCATATCTACCTGGGTTCGCGCCACTTGGCAGGATGCCGAAGAATTCTTCTGCGAGGACGGCAGCCTTAACCTCGGCGTGTTCCTGCCTACGCACTTCGAAGCGTTCCTGCTGCATAAAATGAATGCGGGCAGCGTCAAAGTGTCGACACAGAAGTGCGCTAAAAGATCTGTACCGCCAAAAGCGACTACCTGTGCCGACGGAGTACTTGGACGACATGAAAACGTTCTTCAGAGGGCTCAAGCGAGTGGAGGCGGATGAAGACCAAGCGGGGCGCTCGCGTCGAGTCGGCAAGGAGCCGCTGACGCTCTCTCTGTACGGGGAGCTGGCCAAGCGCACGCTAGCTTTGAGTGACAACGGGTTTGCACACCTATTCCTACTAACACAGTGGAATTTAATGTGCCGTTCTAAGTCAGTAGAAACGCTGCACATCTCACATCTCCAGTGTGCAGACGACAGCGTCGGGTGCGTCCTTCACAAGACCAAAACAAACCAAGAAGGATCTGGGCCCAAAGACCCCCGGCACATCTACGCGAATCCTTCGCAGCCTGACTGCTGCTGGGTGCTGGCACTCGGACTCTATCTCGGCTCCAACCCAACGCTAGTCCCTGGAAAACTGTTCCCGGGCTCCAACCAGAAATCAAGATTTTGCAAGACAATTGGGAGAATGCTCGAGGATACGGGAGAAAAGGCGTACGGGACTCACTCCATCCGAAAAGGAGTCGCTACGTACGCTAGCAGTGGCAGCACCGGTGGTCCGTCAATTGTTAGTGTGTGTTTGAGATGCGGGTGGTCGCTAGGTGGTGTTCATTTCGGTACGAAGCTGCTGGTGATCAATATCTCGGGCGGGTAGTTGCTGGCCTGCCTCAAAACAGCTCTCAATTTGCTGCGTTGCCCCCTCACTTCAAGGATCCGCAAGCCGAATTTATTCGAGACTGTACCAAGCAAATGTTTCCCGCATTGAAAGCCGACGCACACGTGGCACCTGTGCTCCAGCTGTGCCTTGCTTCCCTGGTGACGCACGCCGATTTTCTTCGCCAAGGTCTGCTACCGAAGCATGCTTTGCTTTCTTCCTACATCTTTCGCGATTCCGCATGCTGATTACCGGTTGCAGTACGTGGATGCGCCCTACTGGTATACCCCCACACGTCGAGCTTTTTGAGCAGCACATGAAGACGCGACAGGCGCTGAACCATCTCCCGGATCTACTGCTGGACGGATTTGCTATGCTACTGGACGAGAAATGCGTGAGTCAGCAAAGTGTAACGCGAGAAAACCTCAGCTCGACGATCCGTGTACTGCTAGAGGAGGCTGGACTATGGCAGGCGCAGCAGCGCATTCAGCAAGAGGCAGCCCAATCAAGTTCAACCAGCATTGTTTATCAATGGCAATCAGATGGGCGCTTTCATCGGATGCCGCAGGATTTTGCTTTCCACAGCTAGATGCGCTAAGTGTGTGGCGTATTTGGTGGCTTGGCCACCCTGCTGCCGGATACCCGCCTTTTCGGGCGCTGCAGCCATCTGACTTCACGAAGACCAACCGCAAGATGTTTTCGGAATGGACGGTGCTGGTCCGACATATCGTCGCTGGTGTGGAGGCAAGTACAGGGGCGAGAATGCAGCGACCAACTTCACAACGTGTAGCCGACGATCTCTACCAACTCGGCATAGCTCATGTGCCGATGAAGCCGCCTACACATGCGGCGAAGCAACGGCCCGAGCGAGCAGTAACCACACTACGACGAATCCGGTAGGCAATCCACGAGTCGAACCCGGAGGCAAGGCGTGTGCCATTTCGTCACAGGAAGCGCACTAGAAGCACCAAATAGAGGTTAACAGCATTAACAAGGCGTTAGTCGTGATGACGCAGCACATTAGCTCGTTCGATAGATGCTTGTTCGTCTTACCTCGACACCGTTCCCGTCCAAGATGCACGACAATGGGATCTGGCGCCCCGCAGAGTGAGTACTGCCCTTTAGTGATGAGAATATTAGCCAATCAGACGACGTTCGTTATGCGATCTCGACACAAGTCATTGATAAAACCAATAGAACATTACGCCGGCAGATTTTACTAGTAGTTCGGACCAGCGCGACGTGGCGTCTCATCATTGGTTGAAAATCTATGTCACACGCCTTCATGTTCGCTTAAGTACGCCAGAAATTCTACCTCCTTCCTCATTCCAGAATCTGCCGGCTCGAGGAAAGATGGTGAAGCTCTTCTGCGCGATCGTTGGTGCGGCGGGCAGTGCGTTTCCTGTGGACATTGACGCGGGTCAGTCGGCGGGAGACTTGAAGAAGGCGATCAAGGCGGAGAAGACGAACAAGTTGAAGGACATCGATGCAGGTGACCTGCAGCTCTTCCTGGCGAAGAAAGACGAGGGCCGCGGCGCGTGGCTGCCAGACGACGACCAAGCTGCGCTGGATCTGGAGGACGGAAAGATTCATGAGGACATTCAAGCGTTGATCGATGGAGAGAAGATGAAGGCGACGAAGACTTTGCAGCACTGGTTGTTCGAGAAGAACGAGATGCCTCCACCCTCTACCGATCAGATCCACGTGCTGGTGGTGGTTCCGGAGCAAGAACACGCACAAACTGGATTGTGGCTTGTCACTGGATCCGTTGACAACGCGCTGAACACGAAAGGGATTCGCTGCAAACTGTACTGGATGGCGACGTTACGCATTGGATACTACGATCCTACGCGCTGCATCGGCAACAAGAATGTCGCGTTTTGGTATGAAGACAAGAAATTGTGTTTTCATGTTTTATTCGAGACAAGTACGTGCTTCTATATGCTGTCGCTGCATCGTAATACTGCTTCATTGAGGGCTAACTCTGTTTCTTTTATAGAAGATGCTGCTTTGCTGTTCGAAACTGACTTAAGGACTGGGCCACAAACGCTGGGCTCTCCGTTAACTAACCAGGTTGTTGAGACGCGTGTTGCACCAGCTAACGCTGTGTCTACTGATCTCCAGCGCGTCTTCTACTGCGACTACGTTCCAGACGATTCGGAATCTCCTCAAAACACAGTTTCATCGATATCGTTGACTACAAGCGTTTCGAATCTGGACTCATCGACTGACGAGTTTCGTTTTCAGCGGATTGAGGACGAGAAGTTCTTCCTACCGTACGGCAAGGCAGAAAGCTGCCATTTGGTGTCGAGAAAGCAAAGCAGAGACCACAAACGGGAATTCGCCAAGTACGATCGCGACTCAAACAACAGGCTTGCGCTTTCTCGCGAAATGCATGGTTGGTTCGACGGTATGAGCATTGAGGTTCCCATCGTCAACATGCTACCCGGATCTGTTGAAGAGAATCAATCCATTGGCACCAGACGCAAGGTACTGTGTGAGCGCGTAGTTCTGGTGTGTGTAAGTTTACTGACATTTGCGTGTAGGTCGAGGTCTTCGTGAAGGTTCTGGATGCTCAGTGCACAGATCGCGTTTTCAGTCGTTTGAAAGGAGGATCAACCAGGACGGACGATCCGCTCATGATGAAGACGTTTGTTCACGTGGAGGATCCAGAAACATTTTGTTTGTGCATGAGGTGGAAGCACGACGATAATGCGGAGCGTTGGAGAAGCTTTTGGGATATGACTCCTGCGGTCGATTGAATGGAATAATGTGGCTCCCGAGTTAAATACTTCGAAGTAGTATTTGATTTCTTGACATACTTTGATCCTGATAAATATAAAGTTAGTAATATACAAAGATGGCGTACTCTCCTGAGCAATACCAAGCTAGCAAGGAACGAATCAAATCAGCGCAGAAGCGCTACTACCAGCGCACACGCGAAGCCCGTTTATCTTATCAAAAAGACAACGATGACAAGAACAGAGACCAGATTCGAGCTCGCAAGCGTAAACCCAAAACCGAACTTATTGATGGTGAAGTCGAACTTAATAATGAAACCGAACTTAATTAATTAATTTTTTTTCCTCGGATAAAATGTCGCCTATGATATAAAGTCAATCCTGATACAAGACCCAATATTATAAAGTCCTTTTTTCGGAGAATAATATAGCCACCGATATATAGCAATGTTCGCATACGAGCTTGAAGGTCTTCAGAGATTAAATATTAACCCAATCCGATGGGGTAGCAGCTACCGTATTAAGGTACGCGGCAAGACGGGGCGCATGGTATACATTAGCAACATTTCCCACCCCACCAACCAAAAATTGGTAGCGAAGCAGTACCAGATCAGTCTAGGCAAGCTCCAAAAGAATGTGGCTGCTGATTTCAAGGAAGACAGTAAGTACCGCTTCTACCAAGGCAAGAACATGGAGTCGCACCTCTACGAGGGAATTCAGCCTGCTGAGTTCTACGACAAGCTCGAGAACGTGCTCGCAACCCAGAAGTCTGCCTTCAAGGTCAACATCGCCCTTGGATAGAAGCTTGTCAGCAGAACTGATGACAGCGAGACTCGCTACTTCCACCCGAATATTAGCAACACGTCTGTATTTAGCACTCCTGTAGCTATCAACAGCAAGGCTGATATTCGTAAGAAGGTGATCTCGGAGATTCGCTCCATGGAGTTGGCTGACAAGCTCAACTACCCCAGCTCCGGGTACATGGTGAAGGGGATTACTGGCTTCAAAATCTATATCTACCAACGCGACCATGCTCTGGGTGATGGCGAGGCTGTCATTCCTAAGGCGATTCGTGATAACAAGCACGTCATCAACTTCCCCAAGACGAACAACAAGTGTGACTTCCACTGCATTGCTTTTCACAAGCAGGAGGGAGCCAAGAAGGATCCTCGCAGAATCCAGGCTCTGGTGAAACAAGCCTTCAAGCAGTACTGTTCGTACAAAGAGATCACCTACACTCTGGGTCGGTTCCGCAATTTCAAGCCTATCGACATTCTCCAATTCGATGGGCTTGAGGAGTGCTTCAAGCTGAACATCAACGTCTTCAACATGGATGTTGAGACGGGCAAGGTTGAATGCATTCGCTGCTCGGACAAGGACTATGATTCGATCAACATCCTGTCGCACGAGAATCACGCTCTCTACATCACGAACGTTGATATGCTCCAGCAGAAGTACCAATGCTCTACGTGTGAGATGGTGTTTGTTAGCTCTGATAAGCTACGCAACCACACTAAGAACCAATGCGAACTCGTGAACATCGAATCGTTCCCAGCTCAGCCAACCATCTACCAACCCGCTCCGAACAGCATTCGTTCCATGCTGACTAAGTACTCCATCAAGGATGCTGACCATTACATCGATCACTTCATTGTCTATGATTTTGAGGCTATCCTCAAGCCTACGGGTGTCAAAAACGGAGAGAATACTATCTTCACAAACGAACACATTCCTGTGTCTGTTTCCGTGGCCGACAGCTTGACTGAGGAGGTGCGATGCTGTGTCAGCGATGACCCGAAGAAGTTGCTCAAGGATATGTTCCAGTACATCAAGAAAGTTGCGGCTAAGATTCAGCAGTACAACGTCTCGAAGTACGAGTCTTTGCTCCGCAAAATCATCAACGTCCATGGTTTGACTGACGCTGAGGTTCCTGGTCTAGACTTGGGTAAGACGTACAAGACGAATGATGTCAATGTTTGGATTCAGAACGGGGAGTTTGCTTGTTTCTTCGATTTCCACAGCAAGCTCACATTCGGTAAGAAGCGCTCGCATTATGGCAAGCTGAAGCAGTGCATTGGTCAGGTACCAGTATTCGGATTCAACTCTGGACGCTACGACATCAACCTTATCAAGGCGGACCTGTTTGCAGTCATCGGTACTGACAACATCACATCAGTCATCAAGAACCCTAGCTACATGTGCATCGCCACGTCAGACATGAAAATGCTTGACATCAGCAACTATGTTCCGGCAGGCACCAGCTATGCAAAGTACTTGTCGACATATCTCGGTGAGTGCAAGTGCGATGACAAGATTCGATGCGTCTGTGGCCTAGGAAAAGGCATCTTCCCGTACGAGTACATTACTTCATTTGACGTACTCAGTCAGCCGGAAGTCCCTCCTAAGTCGGCGTTCGACAGTGCTCTTCGTAGCACTAGCATCAGCGATGAGGACTATGTGCGGGTACAGTTCGTCTGGGAACACTATGGCATGAAGTCAATCAAGGATCTACTCATTTGGTACAACAACCTCGATGTAGTACCCTTCATCAAGACCATCAAAGCCCAGCGAGAACTATTCAAACGTTTCGAACTTGATATGTTCACTGATGGTTTGTTGCTACCTGGTCTCTCTGAGAAATTCATGTATCAGACGTGCTTCAACAACCTCCAGCAACCAAGTACGGAGCCTGCTGAAGTGTTTGACTTTCCCGCTAGTCGTTTAAGTGGATATATAAGACCCAGGATGCTGATGCCGATCGTGAATTCAATATGACGCTAGAACACCTCAACGACTTGCTAGAGCGACAAAAGTACCTGTGTGGGCTATGCTACAAGCAACTCACAGCTGATACTGCCTCGGCTGACCGAATCAATAACAAGCTCGGACACATCGATGGTAATATCTTGATCAGCTGTGTGGGATGCAATGTTGCTCGCAAGAACATGTCGCTAAAGGGCTTCCGCCACAAGAAGCTACTTGAATTCAACTCAGACAGGTTGGTGTACAGTATCGATAGAGAGGAGAAGGACATCTACACCAAGATGAAGGCGAACATTGCTGGTGGTCCTTCTATCATCTTCAACAGATACGCGAACGCAACGAGACCAAGATTCGACGGGGTAGGATCTGCAAAAAGATCGTCGGTTACGATGCTAATGCTCTGTATTTGTGGGCTCTTGGTAATGAGATGCCATGTGGACGGTTGACTACCATCGAAGAATACACAGGGATCGTCGATGATATTGAAAAATGACAAGATCTTTGGCTTCCTCGAGTGTGATATCCGTACACCAGAGCACCTCAAACCCTACTTCAGTGAAATGACCCCAATTTTCAAGAACACCCTTATCGACTGCAGCGATCGGAGTGTCATCGGTCAGCACATGTTCGAGTACAACGAGGAGCGCAAGCAAAACCGAGCAAAGCCGGCTCGCAAACTCATCGGGAGCTACTTTGGTGAGAAGAGCCTCATTTATGCACCGCTACTCAAATGGTACATTTCTCATGGTATGGAGATCACCAAGACTTACAGCTTCATCAAGGCTAGCTCTCACAAGGCATTTGCACCATTCATGGAAGCCGTATCGAGCGCGCGACGAGAGGGTGATGAAAATGTTAAATCCATCTGTAAGATCATTATTGAGAAGGTATCTGACTCTGATATGGATGATTTAGTCCAAGAGTTGGAAAAAATCATTACGAACCCAAATCATTTGATGCGCTCATTATCGATAGATTCATGAATGACTCGACAACCAATTCTAAGATTCATTTGGTTCTAGACTTGTTGACTAAGCTGAAAACGCTTAGTGAGGGTAGCAATAATAAGGCTATGATTGCTGAGATGATGAAACTGGTTGGGAATAGTGCGTTTGGTCGATCTGGCATGGACATGAGCAAGCACAAGGAGGTCAGGTATGAGTCGGACGATAAGGCAATCAAGGCCAAGATTGAGCACTTCACCTTCCATGGAATGGAAGAGCTGAATGATTCATGTGAATTCACTATGAAGAAGCGAAAGTTCAACAATAAGAACCCAATTCGTCTATCGATTGCAATCTATCAGCTCGCTAAGCTCCGTATGTTGCAATTCTACTATGATTGCATTGACTTCTACTTCGACCGTTCGGAATTCCAGTACCAAGAAATGGACACAGACTCGGCTTATATTGCGTTCAGCTGTGAGAAGCCATTCGTTGAGTGTATCAAGCCCGAGCTTCGTGAGCATTTTCAGTAGCATAAGTACGAGTGGTTCCCACGTGATTATAGCGAAGAGATGGCTCAGTTTGATCGCCGAACGCCAGGTTTGTTCAAGGATGAGTGGTCTGGTGATGCTATGGTATCACTGTCCGCTAATAACTACATTGGCTACCTTCCAGACGAATCTTACAAGGTCAAGGTTTCAGCGAAGGGAGTCCAGCAGAGTGGTGGCCGCAATGGCGACGTCCTCAACCCAGATGGCTTTGAATCAGTTGTTCGCGATCGCATCACGCTACAGGGCACCAACAAGGGGTTTAGACTCAGTAAAGAGAGTAAGTCAATCATTACGTACACCCAGACTAAAACAGCTCTAAACTACTATTATGACAAGCGTCGTGTACTTGCGGATGGTATCACCACCGAACCGCTCGACATATAAGCAACTACCTGGCAGGGGATTTTTTTGTTTTATAACCATATAGAGCGATGGATCAGCTGTTGTCCATATTATACTATGACCCCAAAACGGGCTATGTGGGTGCCCAAGCCTTATACCAGAAGGCTAAAGAACTGGAGCCGAAGATTACGATGAAAATCGTCACGGAATGGTACTCAAACCAGAGCGATATTCAGCGATTTCAGGAGCAGAAGAAGCGATACGATAGGTTCAAAGTCGCATCGACTAACCCCAATTCGTGGCAGATGGACTTGGCGTTTTGGGAGAAAAGACCAATCTTGACTGCGATCAACGTCAACTCTCGGCTAGGCTACGCAAAACTACTAACCAACAAAACTGGCCCGACCGTACTAGCAGCAATAAGGGTTTTTGTCCGCCTCCATAAGGTTGACATTCTCACAACCGATAATGGTTCAGAATTCATGAACCAACAGGCTCAGAAATTATTCAAAACTAAGAAAATTGATCATTTCAACAATGAGCCTGGAGATCACGCCGAAATGGGTAAAATTGAACGCTTCAATAGAACTCTGAAGCAGCGCCTTGTCAAAATCGAACCAAAGTGACTAACCCAGAAGCTCATAGCTGCTGTTATTGAGAACTACAACAGCACGACCCATCGGACGATTGGTATGACCCCCAACGAAGCTAAAGGTAAGGTAATTGAATCTGAACTAGTCCACAACCAGGCTGAAGCCGAGAGGATTGAAAACGAGTTCGAGGTCGGTGAAAAGGTTTTGTATCGACTAAAAAAGAAAACATTTGATAAAGAAACAGCAAGATGGTCTAAGGCTGTGTATTCGGTGGTAGGTATTGATGGCTACCGCATTCAAATCAAGTCGGAAAACGGGCACACTCTTTACAAGGGGCCAAACGATCTAAAAATTGTTAAAGCAGAAACATCTGAAGCTACTATCAACAGGGGTGATATTTTAGAGGTGGAGAAGATTTTAGACCACAAAAAGATGCGATCCGGCAAGTACAAGTATCTCATTCAGTGGGTCGGTAATGAACTTGACTCCTGGGAGCCACAAGATAATCTTAGATTAGTCAATAAGAACAAGAGATCAACCTTAGAGAATGAGTACTGGAAGTCGATAAAAAAATGAGTCGAACTAGCTTCGAAATAAGTTTAATAGAGCAATCCTTTGTAAGTGTTGACTCATCTATATCTATCAATCTATATTCCGAAAATAATGCTTAAAAATATATGACTTCATATATAGAATGTGTTGCAACTGCGTAGAGAATCAACGTGAGCTTGTACAGCTCCGAAGAAAGCTGTGGATAATTCAAGAGTTTAGTCGAATCAAAAATGAACTCAGATATTTAGACCCAGTAGCCAATTTCCGGGAAACCGTGTGCAATCTACAGTACCGCGACCAGTTAGAAACGATATTTGGTGTGCCGTTTCATTGCATCAAGGATCGATACATCTATCCCCTCAATGAGCGAAACCGTATCTGTCATACGTATCAACCATTTAGGCATGACTCCGTTATGCCAAGCTATTGGTGAGTATGTATTTAATCGATGCTAATATTTTTTTATGACTACCATGATATAGTTAGACGATGTTTCCCAACTTTACATCCCTCGCTCAACGAGAGCAAAAGCGGCAGGAGCTACTCGAACGAGCTGAGCGCCGAGTTCGTCAAGCCAATCCAAGCGCCTTATGTACGAAGGTGCATCATGGGCTAGCGATATCGCGAATGGTATCACTACTGTTCCAAAGAAATCAACACAATCCGCTCAGTCTGATATTTCGGTTGGCCCTAACGAGGCTACGCCGGAAGAGTTAAAAAAAAGTCTGAATATTGAAAACTCCCAAAAAAAACCCTGAGTCCTGAACAATGGTAGATGCAGAAGTTAATGCAACACCTGAAATGAACGATGCATCGACTACTGCAAAGCCTCAGTCCGTTGATGCTTCCAGTACTGCTAAGCCCAAAACCAGTGATGGTTGGGTCCACGTGAGCCCCGATATGACTGATGTTGGAGTTGATAATAGTGCAAGAATGACAGATGCTGGTGTTGGCCCTGATAGTCCACTGCCGCAAAAGCCCGTCGAAGAAGATTTGTTCGACGAAGGCAATGCTGAGATGAAAAATCAAACAAAGTCAAAGGAAGCGGTCGCTAAAATCTTCGAGGTTTACCCCATCCTTGCAGAACTAAATATTCACCCTATTGCTTCCAACGGCCGGCAGCTTACTAAGTATTATATTGGGATGGATGGTGTACAGTATTAAACTGAGAAAATATGTACTAGTTCCGAGCATTGATTGGTCTGAGACGTATGAACATATTGGTGAGGTATTAATTAATGATGTCAGATTCCTCGCATACGTCAATGAGAAGGAGCGACGTAATGAGATGGGTAAAGAGGACAAAAATAGCGCATACCAGGTTTGGCAAAATATTGACTCAAAAAGAAAAAGAATCAATGCCTCAAGGAGATTATTCAAACCGCTCTAAGCAGAGACTTGACGACAGTTTTGTGTTCGATACTGGAACATCCACAAGATCCGATCAAATGGACAGCAAGCTCAAATTATTTTGGACAATTAGCAAAAATAGGGAAGTCCTTGAATCTAACGGATTGATAAAGAAGATTGTACCAATTCTTCATGGTTCCGCAAAATCTTCTCCTATTGACAAAGATGGCTATGTTTGGATCAATGGCAATAGCATTAGCGTTTACGGGAAAGATAGCGATCATGTGAAGCAAGCAATCACTCAGAAAGTGAACTGGATAATGACATTCCAATCTTTCATTAATATATATGACTAAAGCCAGGGGCCTCGAGTTAGAACTAGTTGGTAGCAATGAAACCAAACACATAAATGATTTTACCCCAGCTAATGGTGAAGCTCAGCATGGGTTAATGAGTGGTATTGATGAAGACATGGACCCAAGCCTATCAAACGCTGATAACGACGCCAAGAATATCTTAACTGATTACTACAGCCAGTTGCACGCTAATAGTATTGATATTCCATTTCGGCTACAACCAATCGTGAAAATCAACGGTGTTGTTAAGTCCCATCCATCATACTACTTTGGGCAGCCATCGGGGTCTAGACCCCTAAATATTATAAATCGTGAAAACAAAGCACACAAGCAGGTGAGTGGTGTAGCTTGGAAGGGGCTAATGAAGAATATCATGTGGATGGATACCTTTTCGTCCCTACTCAACGGGGTTGAGGACTTGGACCGCTATCTTAATGAGGTTGAATACCCCTTCCCATCGAGCGATGAAGAAGCAGCTAAGATACTTGAAGAAAAGGAGCTTGATAAGAAAAGACGTAAAAACCTGGATGCTAATCTTGAAATATTCAATGAGGCTATTCTAAAGTCTGTACACGATATTAGACAGCAAAGCGTTGAAGAGTATGAATACGATGACAGCTTGCAAAAGCTTCATGATGAGTCAGAAGCAGCTTTTCAGACATACGATGAGGCTCAGAAACGCTATGAAGAAGCAAAAGAGGCTGTTAGAGGGAATAACTCAAAAGCACCGAGATCGGTGTTGAAGGCAGCTACATCAGCTATGAAGGCGACAAAATCGATATATCAAACGAAGGCTAAGCGATACGCCGAGGCAAGCGAGGTATCCGGCAGTGGCGTTAAACGAAAGATTCAAGGTCGAGGATTGCGCGGAGCAGGTGTTGCCCCGCTGGAAGGTGTAGTTCGCCGAGGCTGTACCTACAATCTCAATGAGATCCAAGGATTAGCAACGCCGTCAGCCTACACATACAAGCAGATCGGAAGCAAGTATATTCGTATCCCCAACCTTGATGCTAAAAAGCTCGTGATCGTTCAGCCGAATCGGCGTAAATGTGGTCCTAAGTGGGAAATCAGTGATAGCCTCCAAGCCATGATCAAGGCACTTGTCTATAAGAACCGTATCGATCAATCCGCTTACGATAAGCTCAGCGTTGAAGATAAGAAACTGTTCAAGGAGGTTATATTGATTACTCATCTCCAATACAGCTTCCACGATAAGTTAGTGGATCCTCTAGATACGCTTAGGGCTGAATACGATAAGCTAAAAGGAGAGCTACAACTCGGAAATGACAACCCCAGTATCATCAAGCAGCTCAAGTCTCTCATGGTGGATATGTACAGCAATCGACTGATTGATGATAAAGAGTTCAAAGATATTATCACCCGTTTATTATAAAACCATGTTCTTCTTCAACTCGCGTATTATATCCAGTTCCGGAGGCAGCTATGGTGACAATAGCGACCTCAACGTCGCTGAGTTGAAAGCTATCATGAAGAACCTCATCATTCATGATCGTCCCCAGAAGACCCAAGCCGCTGTGTGGGCTACTGACCTCGACAAGTCGACCAAGAAAGTGGAGGCATCTACCCAAACGGAAGGCGGCCGAGTCTGGGCTTACCAGCCAAAAAAAGTCAAAGTCTGTGAAGACATTTGCTCTATAGAGCAGTGCGGATATACTTAGATGTCTACGTCTGTTTTCTTCTCTCGATAGAGTCTGATTTTTTTTATCTCCGATATCGATAGCCACGACAGCATTCTTGCCACTATGTACGTTGTACATTGGGATATAAGCATTATTCCCTATCGAAACCACTGCAGCGTGCATCGTTATTGAACCGATGACTTGGCCAGTTTCAGGGTTAGTCAGGTTCTTTTTGATCGTTGTACTTGGTCCGCAGCCCATCATACTCTATTACAACGAAGTACTCAAGATCTGCTCTATATTTATCGGTGCGAAATTATCCCTGAGCCAATACCATATATAACCCTCTCGTAGAATTCGACAATTCGATCACATTGTAGTTGATCAGTATCAACGACATTAGCGTTAGTAGTCTGAGGGCAAGCGGTCTTCGCCACGAACTGGGTTTGACAGATACCATTCTATATTTACTCAGACATAATCGCTCTCAACTCATTGTGTTCAGCTTTGAGACTGGAAACCCATCCGGATTAAGCTCATCGTTTGCTCCGATATCTACTGCTTCTGGTATGACCCTATACAGCTCCTGCGCGATATAGCCAACATGGACAGTCTGCTCTTGAACCATCCTGAATTTTCTAGGTCTCATTCTCATAAGGCTTGCCAAACCATAGGGACAGTCTACAATGTCCGCCTTCAACCTCTCATCGCTTGCATTGGTATAGCTTCCTCCACGCACCGGGACATAGGCTGTCCACGCGTAATTAGCATCGCATTTTCCCAACCTGATAGCTCCTACGGTTGAATCAGTTCCAATCGCTGGATAGTCAGTCTGAGACCAATTGAATCGATACCTAGCAAATCCATCGCCACCTCCCTTTACGTGCATGAAATTATTCGCCCATACCTCTCCGCCTGAGTGAATGGATGCTTCTGGCGACCATGTACTCATACCAACTCCCAGTCTTCCTGAGCTGTTTAGATAAGCTTGAGTTGTGTTTCCAACCATGAACCTTAGCGGGTCGCTCGTAGTGGTGCCTAGAGCTACACCACTACTTCCTCCCGCGACATCGTTGTATACCTGAATTTCAAATTCGATTGGAGTAGTAGCATCGTTGGCTATACGCATTGCGCGTTGCCAAGACCCGCTTAGTAAATTCGCGCTCGAAACTATTTCTATTTTTGCAGTACTGGCAGCTGATCCAAAGCGAATGTATCCTGCTTGAGTGATTCTCATACGTTCAGTCATTGGTGATAATGCATTAGCTCCTGACCGTGTACTGATTGCAAAATCAGCCATTGAATATTGAAGACTCGTAGCGGTTCTAGTACAATATAGATTAACGCTAGGGGTGTACGTTGTCATATCACTAGTACCTTCAATCGTGAACAATAATCCGGCCTGAGCGCCAACCGTATTGCTTTGATTACGAATCATGAGATTAAAATCAGAGGCACGCGTTGTTGATGTAAATGATGTCCCGGCCGCAATCTGACATTGGGTAGAAGTAGTGGATATCAGATTGGTTGACGTTAGAGATGAGATACCTGATGAGATGCTACTATAAGAGTCTAGTACCTAGACTAGTAATATTAGGCTGAGCAGCGGTTTGTAGCGTTCCTGTTATCGACGTCGCTGTGAGCGAGCCCAGGGTTCCTAGGCTGGTAATGTTGGGCTGAGCAGCTGTTGTTAGCGTACCCGATACATTACCCGAGCAATTTACAGCGGTTAGAGTACCTAACGATGCTATATTAGGCTGAGCAGCAGTCTGTAGCGTACCAGTAATGTTAGTTGCAGTTAGCGAGCTAAGACCTGTAATGGATCGACTTGCACCAGTAAAGGTTAAACTGACTCCGATAGTCAATCCAGTAAGCGTACCTAAGCTGGTGATATTTGGTTGAGCAGCCGTCGCTAGCGTTCCATTGATGTTTCCACTCACGGTAAGCGACGAGAGTGTCCCTACACTAGTTACGTTGGTCTGAGTAGCAGTTGCCAATGTACCAGATATGTTTCCACTCACGGTGAGGGACGATAGCGTGCCTAACCTAGTAATATTAGGCTGAGCTGCTGTCTGCAGCGTGCCAGTAATCGACGTTGCCGTCAAACTACTAATAGTAGCAATTTCACCTGATGCACCAAGCACCAGAGCTTTGTTGATAGCGGCAGTACCTGGAGTAACATCAGCTACATACGTTGGTACGCCTGAAACGGAAGCACCATTAACAGTTAGGCTACTACAGCTTAGTGCTCCAAGACCGCTGATGTTCCCACCACTGCCAGGGACAAGCGCTACACCAGGTGATGCTACGCCTTGAGAGACACCGGTAATGTACGTCAAGCGATAGTCATACTTGTTCAGATAAAGAGTCTGAGCATAGTCATACGTTAGAAACCCGCTGGCATCCAATTGGAGAAAGAATGCCGGATTATAAATCGGCGATGTGAATATCGGGCTAGGATAAGAAAAACCTGAACTCATCTTTGTTTGATCCTATATAGTTTAGACGACAATCATGAGCGGTATTCCAGATTTCGGAGCTTCAATCCCTAAAAAATTCAAAAGCGCCTCGATGGGTGATATTCCAGCACTTGACATCAAAGCGCTGTTTAGAATGGTGGTTCTGGGGCCATCGTTCTCAGGGAAGAACAACTTATGTATGTTCATCCTCAAGCATTCTCCTCACGTATTTGCTCATCTAACGATCATTGCTTGTAATCCTCACCAGGAGTTATATGAGTATCTTCGTGATAAGCTTGATGGCTTTATCACATTCACCGACCCTGACTCGCCTCCGAGTGTTGAATGGGTACGTCATACACCAATTAATTCCAATAAGCCTGAGCTCGTCATCATCGATGACTACAGCAACGATAACCTTCTTCAGAAGAATTTGTTCTCACATTGCTTCCCTAGAGGGCGCCACTTTAAGCTATCAACCATCTTCTTGAGTCACAGCTACTTCGCAACGGACAAGATGATCAGATTGAACTCAGAGTACGTAGCGATCCTGAAAGCTAATTCTAAGCAAGACCTCCAGATGGTTGTAAAAGATTTTAATATCAAGGGAGTAGATGAGCGTTCAATCGTCTATTATTACAACAAAGCCACGGAGCGAAAGGGCCAAGCGCTCTTCATTGATTCGGTCAAGGGTCAGATCAGGTATAACTTCGATAGACCGATTCGTATCGAGGACTAATTCCAATTTATCAAACAAAAATATGCCTACAAACATATAATCAATATGTCCAGCTTTATCAAACTCGACAGCACCAATCTGGTACAAAATGGAACCAATTCAGCCTGGAAATACTCCTTTCCCGGATCGGCGGCTGACTTCCGCGATGTAGTATGTGACATTCAATCGATTTCGATGGATAACAGCGAATATAACATTGATTTAATGCAATTTCAGAACACAACGTTCAAAATCGAAGTACCTACCGCTGCAACTACATCCACAATCAGTGTATCCCTCCCTGATGGTATTTATTAATATGACGATATCAACCGAAGCATTCAGACTGCTCTTGTCAATGCTGGGGCGTATCTAATCGATCCGTCGGGGAATAACGTATTCTATATCAAAATGAGTGCTAACAGTGTCTATTACGCTTGTCAGCTTGATTTCTCTCCTACACCTACAACTCTACCAACTACCGGTTGAACATGGACCAGACCTACCTCCGGTTTATACTCCTCTGGTGGTACTGGATTGCCGACTACTACTCGCGTTCCTCGACTGATCATCGATAATGCTGAATTCGGTAAAGTAGTTGGTCTCACAGCGGGTACATACCCCATCCACATCAGCTACTGTTGCAAGTGCTCAGCTATCGACATCATTCCTCAGATTCACCCCACCAGTTCCTACATTGTACGTTGCGATCTGATCAAAAACGAATACGTGGCTTCTGGTGATATTGTCAGTGCTTTCGATAGAGGTGATGCCGCTATTGGAAAGGTCATTTCATACAAACCGAGCCAGTATGCGTGGATGAACTGTCATAATGGCGCTCGAGCTAGTATTACACTCAGTATCCATAACCAAAATGATAAAAAAGTGATTTTCAGAGATACGTCGGTATCCATCATGTTTCTGATTCGTCCAAAAAAATAAGACATCCAGAGTATTTTTTTAGGGCGGCTACAACGTAAACGAACCACCAGTCTTACGACGTGCCCTGAGCGCAGCCATATTAGCCTTCATCTCTGGCGAGCCCTTCGCTGGACGTTTCTTTGCTACGCCTACACCATAGCGGCGACGAACCTCCTTTCGCACAGATCTGATTAGATCCTCATGTTCCGGCTTGGTAGCTTTTGATAGTAGGAATTTCTCTCCAGCATCGACCGCGTCGGTGATGACCCCCTTGCGCTTCGTGTATGCAAGAGCATTCTTTGCAGCCTTCTTTACGTCAGCCATTGATACGCGACTTCCTTCCTTGTCGCTATCGGAATCATAAATACCAATGCCGGTTAGGGACTTGATTGCAGCTCTGGCTGGAACAGCAGCCGTTGGGTGACCAGCATAAGTAGCTAAAGCAGGAACCGCCGCATCAACGGCTCTGGATAGTAGACCTGAATCCTTAGCAAATTTGTATGCAGACTTGATCCCTCCCCATACTTTGGACCAGATGCTCGAACCATACATGCCACCTCCTTGCATATGCTTAAACGGGTAGCCAATCTCCTTTTTTGTGATGGCCAAACGTGTTCCTTTACCAGATTTGCGAGCCCGAAGAGCTTTCGCATATGACTCTGGGTGAAGATGAAGTGTAGCTCCAGAACCACTTAGCTCATCTTTAGATAATGATAATGTCCCTGTCTTGAATGCTCTCTTGAGCTTCGACTCGGGAACAGATACGGATACTTCTAACTCTTTAAAAGTCATGATTATTTTTACCCTCTTGAGATAGAATCTGAATTATATTTAATCCTGAATGGAGTCTGCTATGATATAAATATAAACGTACATTTGTACTAATCATGATCGGCCGCATTTATCGTATCATTCACCTGGAGAGCGACGTTCAATATGTAGGTTCGACTTTCAATGAGCCTCGTAAGCGTTGGCAGCAACACAAAAATGATTATAATAAGTGGCTAAGTGGAAATCATGATAATATTGCTATATACGAATACTTTAAAGATCATGGAATCGAAAACTTTAAGCTAATACCAATTAAGAATTATGAAGTAGTTGATCGCAAGCATCTCGAAGCATATGAACAGTTATGGATGTCCAAACTTAGATGCGTTAACAAAACTCATTCTTTTCAAATAAAAAGGCTTGCTCAGAGACAATATTACCAGGAAAATAAGGCTGATCTCCAGGCCTATCATAATAAGTATGATCGAAACAGACGCGTGCGACCCGATAACCATAAGGCCACAATCGAATGTCAATGCGGTGGAAAGTATCAAACATGTTCGAAAGCACTCCACTTCAGAAGCGAGCGCCATCTACAATGGATTCATAATGGAGTATCAAACAAAGGATCTACCAGTATCAAGATTCAGTGCCAATGCGGTGGACAATACGTTTAGAAACATAAAGGCGCACATCAAAGATCTCTGAAACATCAGCATTGGCTAGCTCAAAATAGTCAAGTTTAAGTCTTTAAATCGATCTAGCAGATCCATTCTCTTTTTTTGCTTGCAATATAGCCAAAGTAAGCACCATATTCCACAGTAATCGCCATAGGTTCCTTGGTATTGCTTGGTGTTGTATCGATCGATACGATACTTCTTTGGTGGTCCTTCCCCCATACTATCGAAGAATTCACCATTATGAGCCGCCGTCCAGTGTCCTACCTCAAGATTAGGAGGGCGAAGTAGAATCAGAAATGACCCTTTCTTGGGGAGATGGGACTTTATCTCATTTGATTCGAATATATTATCGAGTTGAACGTTCATTTTCTCAGCGAGTTCGATGAGATCATGATCTGAGGTGATTGGCTTGATGAGGTGCGACATAATATTTAATTTTATCAAGCTATATTAGGATCCATATAGATTCAACGATGAGCGAAACTCAACTATCCGATCAGTACTTGACCAGAGCTCGCTTAAGAGCGACCCGGAGATCAAGGTATCTTCGAGCAAGCGTGTACCGCACGTTATTGACCTAAATCAGGGTTCGTACCAGAATGGTGTCATCACTATCGATGCTACGGCTCAGCTTAACGGTTCCAAGGGCTTCGCAAGCCTTCGTGATGCCTACATTATGCTTCCCTACAAGGTCTCAATGAAGAATGGTGGCACTGCTCAAACTGCCGCTGGCAATCGTCTATGTGCTAGTCTGAGTCTGGAACTCAAGGTCTCAATGAAGAATGGTTGCACTGCTCAAACTGCCGCTGGCAATCGTCTATGTGCTACTCTAAAATGCGGAAATTGGAACGTTATTGATAGTCTGAGTCTGGAACTCAACGGAAAGACTATCGTCTCTATGGCTGACTACAAGCTCTTTTGGAACAACGTTCGTGCTCAGACTGGCTACAGCCCTCAGTACGTTGAAAAGCACAGAGCTGAATCGTTCTTGTACCCTGACGCTGCTCAGTCGGTATCATACAGTTCTGGATCCACATCTACCAGTGGTGATGGATATTCAAACACCATGGCATTCTCGTCTTCCTTTGCTGTCTCGGCTCCTCCTGGTGGTGCAACTATTCCAAATGATGGTTTTGTTAAGCGCCTTCTATCGAATCCTCCTACGGCTGGCGCTGACTTCTCCAGCTCGTGGCCGTCGGTAGGTGGTGCTGCTGCATCGACTACCATTTCTAACCAGACCTCGCGTGGAGCTTTCGTAGCTGGTGGTACTGCTGCTAACGCAATCATGGGAACGTGGAACTACATGCTTAAGATTAAGCTCACCGATCTGCATCCTATCTTCCGTGAGCTTGACTTGATGGCTAACCCTCAAATTCGCCTGCGTTTCCGTGTGAATCATGGAACGTCTGTAGTCGCGGTAGATGCTTCAAAGGGTTTGTCGCTAACCTCTACTACTCTATCGTCTGGTAATAGTTGTCCGGTCATGATTGCCGCTTCTGCTACCGGTAATCCGATGAGTGGTGTGCTTGCCGCATCTGCTGGCTTTAGTGTTGCTTGGGGAGCGGTTGTAAATGCTCTTGAACCTACCATCGATGGTACATACATGCCTTTTACTACTGCTCGTTTGTATGTCCCTTTCGTTCATCTTGAGAACCCTCAAGCTATTATCTCTAAGCCGGTTAAGAAGGTTCGCTAAAATGACTGCTACGCACAGTGGTTTTACCAGCGTGCTGGTATTGGTAAGTCCTCGACTCAACTAAATGCTTCTTTCGATCTACAGCTATCGGCAAGTGTTAAAAACGCGAAATATGTTGTGTTTTTACCATTCGCGGAACAAACAATTTTGCTTCTGCTACTGTTCAGCAGTTCCAGAGCCCCTTCGATAGCTCTCCATACACGCTTCAGCCCGGGTCGTCGATTCGCAACTTTAACGTTCGTATTGGCTCGACTCAGGTGTTCGATATCAGTCATGACTATGATTTCCACCACTTTACCAACGAAATTGCTAAGATTTCAGCGATTAACGGAGATCTAACCCCTGAGCTCGTAAGTGGTCTACTTGACTATCAGACGTGGTCGCTCACAAACCGCATGCTTATTGCCGATGTCAGTCGCCTGACTGAGCGCGATGTACCTCAGGCTATTCAGATCCAAGGTACGAACGCCGGATGCCAAGGTGTGAATATGCTGATCCTCGTAATTAGCGAACAGGAACTAACGTTCGATAGACTAACCGGGGAGGTTCTAGACTTCACTACAGCGTAAGTAAAAAAGAAGAAGATATTTTTTAGTTCAGTTCCTTGAGTAGCTTTGGACACTTGTCAATCACGCATTGACTTTTTCTTAGCCAATCGAGATAGCCTGGATCCAATTTGTTGATCTGCTGTAAAGATTTGCCTCGATACTTACCCCACGTCATCATATAGGAGTTATCGTTATTTAGGAATCTTGAGTGAAGAAAGATTTTCATTTCCTCGCTAATGTTGAGACTGGGTTGGTTGTGAATCCAACGACAGTATCCAGGATCATTCTTGAATACATCCTCAATTGATTGACCTTTGTATTTTCCGAAAGACAGTTCGATCGTCATGTTCTATGTGTGGGTATCTATATACATAGCCTCTTAATTTTTTGAGAAAAATATTAATGATGAAAATGACGTCGCAATGTGCCAGTAATTATTGCGAGTCGAGCTGATTCAAATTCGAGATGAAGACTGAATGGGGTTCGTTCTGATAGTTTAAAGCTCTTTAAGCAATATGGAGCTATCTCGAGGTGCTGTCGATTTATTTACTAATTTTATGAAGGTGTGCTCTTGAACGAGTCTAGTTAGTAATTACGGTAAGAAATGGGGAAAATAAATAACTGCCGGCGTAATGTGCCGCGACCCACTACTCTCAAGTTCTCGACAGGCCTTGTAGCTCGACGATACAATGGTGGCAGGATCTGGCTGTGCGTGGAGAACTCGACCGTGACGAAGGCTTTCGGAGTGGGTGGCAAGTAGAGCGAGAAGCTGCAGCAGCAGTAGTCGATCGACCCACATTGCGGTCTGTTTTAACTCGACCACCCAGCAGACAAGAAGCAAAATCTGAAATGGAGGCCAAGTGGCCATGCATCGAGAAGGAAGTGGGACCAAGACCCGCCAGGACCTGCATGACCGCGCCGGTTCCTTTAGCTTCGCCCCCGTCTTTACTTTGTACTACCCGGCTATACTTGCTACCGCCTCTGCGGTTTGGCAACACCACAACCATCTTGGACCACACATGTCCTTGCTGTACCCCTTGTGGAACAACAACATTGTAATTGCCGCTGAAGTTCGAATATTTAGGTTTTGCAACGGCGTCTTCTTCCATCCTTGCAGTCATATTAATAGTGATCTCAAGCCTCGAGCAATCGCCGGTCGGTTTTGGCTCCGTTGGTTTATTCAATTGGCCAACATTTGAATACTTTTTAAATGATGGCAATGCCAAACTTACAATACAAAAATACGGCAAGGAATCGTGCCGCGACACATTCATACCGCATGAGGGTATTCGGTACGGGGAAGTGATCGTAGTACCGTAGATACCGTAACTTAACAGTAAATACGTTTGACTCCCAAATTCTTTTTTCTTTTAACTATTAAATAACGTTATTGAGAAAAAAGGGAAAAAATAAAATGCCACACAAATGTTGCCCGTTTTTTTACTAGTATGTCACGGTGGGTACACATTGGAAAGCTATTAGAGGGCATGCAGTATACGTTAGAAAAAAGTTTACAGTATGTGTTGCATAGTTCAACGCTGAAATTGAATTTCAGATGTTTTCAATGGGCATGAAGTTTGTATTGAGACATCTAACATAATAGTGTCTGAGAATAGCCGATGTGCCCCAATGCTATCAGGACAGCGGGGGTGCTTCACTTTGGTTGCCAGGCTTATTGAAACTTGTTGAAACTAACATGGGATAGTTCTCGGTGTTGGGTCTTGTGACAGTACTGTCGACCCTATAGCTGCAAGACATCATGGACCACAACGGCCCATCGCAAGCCTTAATATACTCAAATTTAGTTTGCGATGGACCGTTGTGGCATTCGACTCTAATATTATAATTAGCGTTGAGGTCTCTTGTATCTAATTTAGAGGCGGTCGTCGTCCAGTTCAAGCAAATCAATAATAGTTCCGACTTAGCAGTTTCAATTCATGGCAAACCAAAAGCGTGTGCTGGCGATTGCTTGGTGAAGTAGAGCCGGAGCGTGTAGGCTTCATTTGAGGACTGGAATATTTGAGGGAGAAAAAGCAAAGTGAGTGAGGGGCTACTTCTTCCTGCCACTGCTGCGGTCAGCATTTATACTGGCGTGCAAACCATATTTGGATTGCACTAGCGTCGGGGACATGTTTGGAAGATGTATAGAATGTCGTCGACACAACAAGTTACAAACCGCTTTAGCAGACCAGAAGAAAACGGCAAGTCCTCTTACTAAATTCGTGTTGGTTGCGACCTCCTATAAATATTGAGGTACTTGGCCTGAATGGGACCATGACGTAGGTTCATCTGGTCCATCATGAGACCATGAGCGGCATTGCAAGTGTAACTAGCTTCTTATCTTGCCCAGCTCGTGGGGCAGATCGTATTGCTCCGCTGCGTTCGTTCGCCGCGGGAACTGGAAGTTGACTCCGTGCTGGCCGACAGCAGCTAACCGAGCTACTGCGCCGGATCGTCCGTACACACACGAACGTATCCAATTTTATTAAGGAGGCTAGATTACTCAATAGTCCTCAGCCAACTCGTAGCTATCAGCCCACAGCCAACAACTAGAGCTAAGTACACTCAGTCAATACACAGAGAGTTCACCCACGCACGCGAGCTACTAACCCTCCACTCGTTCGTCAGTAGTAGCGGAACGCCTGTCGACACTCCACCACCACCTGTCCGTCACTCGTCCAGAAGGAGCTGTCGCCCCCAGCAAGAGCTTTCGCCCTCGTACTTCGTTCAGCGAGAGCTTTCGCCCTCCTTCGTTGTCCGGCAACCCGTCACCAGGCCACCCAACTCGTAAGTGCTCGCTTGCTCCAAGCGCGCTAATTCTCAACCGCTTGCGCCTCACCGCGCAAATTTCCAACTCCCCCGTCCTCACTCGTTCGCCACCGCTCGTTCTCCTCCAGCCCGAAGGCCAGCTCGCACTGCCGACCCTTCGGCTTCGAGATCTTCTTCTTCGTCAGCCACTCCCAGCCGTCCGTTCCGGCTGCCACTGCTCTCGGAGCGACCGTTCGCTCCCAAGATCGCGTTCGTGCGGCTCTCCGCACCCACCGTCGTCTGGATCTCGCGACCCACCAGCGCGCACCCATGCCAGCCGCTCTCGTCCGCCATGCCCCACTCCGTACGACCAGCTGTCGCTGCTCGCCTTCCGTGGTCACCACGCCGTGACCGCCATCTGCCCATGTCCTGTTACACAAGTATATAACCCCCATGGCGCTAAGTAATGAAACTAGGCGTTGTTCGCCAGTATAACCCCTCCCCAGAAAGCAGTTCCCCACTCACTTTTGCTTTTGCCCCCTCAAGTTCTTCAGTCCTCAAGCCTACACACTCAAGCTCTATTTTGCCAAGCAACCGCCGGCACAAGAAGGCATGATGCGTCTGCATTTATGCGCCACTCTGCCCATCCTGCTCTGCCTTGCAGCTACCGCGGATCCGGAGAGCTACAGCGGAAGTGGATCAGCTCGCGACAATGCTGGTCACGACGCAGGGGTAGTGTATCTACCGGCGGAGAGTATCCAGCACGAGCTATTGAACACGACCGGGCTCGTACCCGACTCCCTGGTCTCGGTGACCGCTAGCAACGAGGCGTTGAAGGACGAATCCCCTGGTCTGGCTGGCGTGACGGCTCTTAACACGACTGTGTATTCGTCCGTGCTGATCGTCCCAGCGAAAGCTTCGACGGCGACGACTACCGCAGTCTCGGGCACGCATGAAGCAGCATCCGCCGATGCGTCGTCTGGACACACACAGCTCACGTACAACTGCACTTCTGCAGCGAACCTTTGGAACCTGCAGGAGGACCCGAGTGTCGTGAAATTGGAGAGCTTTCAGCAGTTCTCAAGCAACGCAAGCGCCAGCAACTCGACAGAGAATACCCGCGAGATCGTGGCCGTCACCGTTCAGAATACGGCTGTCGGTCGACCAGTGCTGGGGGACGCTTTCTTCGGCGCGGAGTTCAGCAGCGACCCCGCCTACTTCTCCACAGTGAGCGCTTGTGGCACGGGCATATCCACACCAGGGGGTTGCCTGCTTCGACGCGGGCCAACTTCTCTGAAGTGTATCCAAACTGCAAATTACGTTCCAGTCGACTGACTTGGATAGCCTCATGCACTCCAACGTGTCCGCAACAACTGGGGAAGGTAACAAGACCCGCCGCCTCGAGTTGGGCGCTTTCGGCTTCGTGGAAGACCCATACTGCGTGTACGGGTGCGGAGAAGTAGGCGCAGCTCCGGGTGAGTGAGTGGTGGATGTGGTTGACGGTAAAGCCATTACGACGTCGTGTCAGCTTCAGTGCTACGATCAGAATCCCTTCTGCAACCATGAATGCGGCAACAAAGTCGGCAAGCTAGATCTACTCCCCGCCAGCGAGTGCTACTATTGCGAAGATGATTATTTTGATGACTGTGATGACGGGCTCAGTCGTGCGAGCTGGGATACGTGTTGCGTCACGATATCCTGCGAGCCCGTCGATGACACGACCGTGACGAACCCGAAAGGACTCACGTGGAATTTACAAAGCGATGGGGAGACCCTCATTAACCCGTCGTACGTGATATACCAAGATGGAGATTGCTCCGACCCGACCGACTTCTCGAGTGATTGCTGCAGTATTTCGTGTGAAGACTGCTACGTCAGCATTTCAGTCGTGTCGCTCTTTCTAAGGAAGTCGTGCGAGGTGGCGCGAAGAGCAGTACATTCGAAAGCCCAGCCTTGAGGAGGCGCCTTGAGAGCCGCGCGCAGATCATCGGAGGTGCGCGGCGGCTTGAGAGGTGGCTACCCCACCATAAGGGCTTGCTTTTGAAGGGACTGCTCTTGCGTACATACATTAGAAGACAAACAGAGTAGTTAGTAGTTTGAGACCGCATACTTACCTTTAGCCGACCGTGGCAGCACCGACAATGGCGACCATGCCCTTCGCCGACAGTGGCACTCAGGCGAAGCCGACGGTGGCTTCCGTGTCCTGCACCGACAGGGGCGTCCAGAACATGCCCTTCGCCGACAGGGGCGTCCAGACCATTCCCTGCACCGACAGCGGCGTTCCGGAACATGCCGACCGTGGCAAGCATGACCGGTGTGTGCTGGCCAAACATTCCCATAGCGGCGGTACCCTTGTAGACGTCCGTCGGAGATCAGGCGCATCGGCGCCCCTTGTGAATCTGCTCGCGCGACGTCGCCGCTGCCTGGTCTCCGGCCGAGGAGGGTCTTGCCACGAAGCGCCACGGACGCGTGCCCACGCCGATCACCCTCCGCCGTCTGCGTCTTGATCCCGCGCTTGTCCGTCGCCGCCCACATCCAGTCATGGACCCGTAGCCGCCCGAGGAGAAATCGTTGGCGAGAGCGAGTTCGCTACCCCACGTAGCAAAAGCGAGCGAGGTCTCGACGGCGACCCCGCTGCTCTTCTCCTCGGCGCAAACTACGAATGCTACTGCTCTAACTACTGGCGGTAAACCTTGCGGTTGGTGGGGCTCTGCTCCGCCACCCGCTGGACTAAATTCCGCCCTACATACGGTCACCTGCCCATCTAACTTCATGCCCGCCGTCGTCGTACGTGTCGCTCGCCGTAGCCGAGTCCGTCGTCGAGGCGTGGATGCTTGACCTCTTCCGTCTTCCAGAAAACATAATTATCGCCTCACAGGCTCGTCGATAATTCCTTATACGCCGACATTGGCACGTACGGCATCAGCGACTTCTCTACATCGTCTGAGATCAAGGTGAGCGGCAACTCGTACCTGCGGGTCAAGGGTTTTGCTCCAAATGGCTGCAACATCGAAGACGTGCACAATACCATCGACGAAACTGCGACCATACCCTTGTATGCTGGGATTGCTGTGGAAGTCGAAGTGCAGCTCGATATCCTGTGGAGACTCTCGCGCCAACCTCACGGCACCAGCGTGGAATTCGGCGCCAGCACAGAGATTGAAGGCGTCACTGCGGGATATCTCAACTCCGGTACACCCGTCAGCGATTTAGAGCAGAGTGGCATCGACATCGAGCTGGAAGTGGCTGCAATTCCTACCGTCAGTGCGTCGCTGTCTTTATTGGGCGGCATCGAAAATCGGCGTCAAGACCAGCTACGCCATCTCCGCTGAGCTGAGAGCGTTCATCCAATTCCCAGAACCCGTTTCAGCGTTGCTGACGGAATATCTTGACCCAGAATCGTATTTCCAGTATGGCGATTGCAGTTTGCCCCACTTCATGGAATTCGCCGGGTACGCCGGGTTCAAGGACGTCACCATCTCGATTCCCATGTCTCTGAATATTCCCTTCGTAATCACCAAAACCTACGAGCCCTCGGCGAATGCAGGCAGTTTGATCAAGAGTATTTTCAGCGGGTGCATCGCAACGGCGTAGATGCAGAGATGCTGCTGTCAACGGCAATAAACGCAGTTTGGTATATTTCTGATGAAAAGCGACGGAAGCTGAAGACGATAATCATGTGGCTGCTCGGCATCTCTGAGATTGACCCCGACTTCCTTTCAATTGACTCCGGTTCATCGAGCACGGGCAAGATTTCGATTAGGATCTCAGTGCCGCCGTCTGTCGCCAAGGTTTACCCCGAAGCCTCAGATCTGCAGACAGTGCTGTATGAACGGGCCAGAACTGTGAGCTTCTCGAACGCCATTTCCAACTACGTAGGGCTGGATTTGAGTGCGCAGTGCGACTCTGGCTCGTGGGGCTCAACCTGTGACCATTCGTGCGAACTTAGTCAAGGCATCAAGGCCAAATGTAATCCTGTGGATGGCGTCACTATCTCGTGTTCGTACTGCGAGAGCGGCTACTGGGGGCCAACCTGCAAAGAGTGCTGCGACCTACCGACGCACTGTGCTAGTTCGTGGTGCCCTCAGTGTATCCGAGTGCTGGACCTGCGAGGAAGGCTGGGAAGATGATCTTTGCGAAATGAGCGCGCCCATTTCTTTTCCGGGTTCGAGTGGAGATTCATCGAGCTCAACGTCGTCGGGCTCGACGGACAGCACGCCGACACCGACAAACCGACAAACAGTGCCAACACTGGGACTCAAACCAATTATGCGTGCACATGGACACCGAATGGTCCGCTGCTGTGGCTCCTTCAAGTCTTCACTTCGGCCTCGGGCTTGATTTGGCTGCTCTAATACGGCATTCCATGCATTTAACATGCTCACCAGCAAAACAACGACATGTATCGTAAGCACTTCATTTTAATAAATACATCGCTGCCCAAACTCATGTATTGGTTGAGCAGGATGCACCGCGTTAGGCTTCATCTAATGGTGGTGCATTCGTCATCTTCATTAGTTTAGCTTAATGAACTCAATATACCTCACCTGAAAAATGAATGAAAATGCATTCATCATTTGGATCATATAAACTAGAGTTATCAAGTATTAATCCAAAACTAGAGCATTATAATATTCCGAATCAGAAGTGGAAGTTTTTAGCTTTTACTCGATTTATGCAATTTGTATCATATATATTTGGTGCGAAGCAAACATCATTCTTGGAAATAGTTTGAAATGGAAGATGATATGCTAAGTGTAAAAAATGAAAGTCCGTGAGAAGGTCAAAGCATCTTGAATAGCCCGAAGATAGCGAGAGCGAGCGGAATCCACCACCACGGACGCCTCGTCGAGGACCCGGTACTTGTCCCGGTTCCAGTGCTCGCGGTGCCTGTTGCAGGCGTCGCAGTTGGCGCCGAAGTCGACGGCGTCTCACACAAGTCTCCCGTCCAGCCGACTAGACAGGATACACATCTCGTTGCCGTCTTACTGTCTTGGCTGCATTCCGCGCTGACGCAGTGCTGCGGCACTTCGCAGGAACTAGTGCACGTCGATCCCCAGAAGCCACTGATGCACTCCGTGCACTCGATTTCATCCCCACTGTTCAGGTTGCACCGCGCACTGGCGCAGTTTGCTGGAGTGGTGCACGAACTCTCACAGGTTGACCCCCAGTAGCCGTCCTCGCAGTGAGTGCAAGTCAACACGGAGCCGTACGCCTTCTCGCAGGTGACGTAGTCCTCAGTGCAGTGCGATGATGTACATCGATCCGCGCAAGTTTGCCCCCACCAGCCACCGTTACATGAGCTGCACCAACTCGCACTGCCATATCCGCAACTCACTTGAGAGCCATCAGCGCAGTGCGATGAAGAGCACTCGTCGCTACAATCATAGCCCCACCACCCGTCCTTGCAGTTGTAGTCGCAAGATGTGGTTGTCCCGTACCGGTCGCAGCGGGCGGTCTCGCAGTTCACCGGGACAGCACAAGCATACCTACACAGCGTACCCCAGTACGAATCGTCACACGACGTGCACTCAACGGCGTCACCACTGTCTTGATCGCATCGGACGCTCTCGCAATTGGTTGGAAGATCGCAGTATTTGCTGCATGTTGGTCCCCAGTAGCCATCCAGACACTGACTGCAAGATGTGACGGTTCCGTCTGCGGCATTGCACGTTAAAGAGCCCGTGCAGTATGACGAGTGGCATCGGTTGGTACAAGTTGGCCCCCACCACCCGTTATCGCACTGTGACGCAATCCCGATACCAACAAACGCGCTGACCGCACTAGAGAAGCTCGCGGTCCGCGCGCGCTCGTAAAAAGTCGACTCAAGATCGTACGATGTCGGATATTTTTCTGCAACAGCGGGGGGCACAGCGATCTGAATCGAAATTTCACCAGTGGTGTCCGAGTTGGAGTTGATGGTCAGGAAGTTTGGATCGATCTCTGACAGCCCCAGTGCCCACATGATAATTTTCTTGAGCTGCTCTTGCTTGTCTTCCGAGAGCGCGGAGATTGTATCGATTGCCGTAGAAAGCACGACTTGCGCGTCGTAGACTGCGGCGATGCAACCACTGAACAGGCTCTGACGACGAGCAGTGGTTTCTGAATACAGAACTGGCTCGGCACTCTTCGAAATGAGTACAAGATCCAACGACATTGGTAGTGTCAGATACACGTCCTTATACCCTGCAAACCCGTTGAGCTCCATGAAGTGTGGCTGGCTGCAGTCGCCAATGTGGAAAAAAGACGTCGAATCCAGGTATTTAGTCGCTAAACCAGAATATGACTCCGGAAACTCGATCCCAGCCTCCAACTCCACAAACACGGCAACCGTCGCCTTGACACCAATCTTCGAGGCCACGGAGATCAAGACATAACACTCCTCGCACGTAATGCGGCAGCAGTCACTTGACGGGTCACTTCGGTCAGAACAATCGCCATCTTCAAAGAAGAAAAGGGATGGATCGCTGATCGTTGTCTTGTCGTTTTCCAAATTCCATGTCAGATCGGCTGGCCTGGTCATTGTCGTGTCAGAAATCGCTGGGCACGTCAAAATCCAGCAACAACCAGCTGCATTCGCCGCGTAATATCCGCTCTTGCACCGCCATCCTGTTAGGTAGCAGTCGTAACATTGGTTGGGAGGTAACGGATCTTCATAGAGAGGGAAGCCGACTTCGTCACCACACTCGTTATTGCAATCGCTGTTCTTGGTGTAAAACTGCATCGTGCACTGCAAAAGTGTCCACTCATCGTCTACAAGCGCATAGCACTGGTCCGGGTCAGCGCCAGTATCTCCACATTCGTACACACATTTCGGATTCTGAAGAAAGCCAAACGAGCTAGCGCCAAGACGACGGGTGGTTGATGATGACGTGGCAATGGGGCTTGCTGAACTATTTATCGTTGTTCCCTCTGAGAGGCCGAGGTTGTTGAGGTCGGTGGATTGAAACTTGATTTTGCAGCTCGGGTACACCTCAGTGAGATTCGCGCGCAACATTTGTAGCTCCAGCACACAGCCTTCCGAAGAAGACGCAACTGTATTGTTGCTCGTGTTCACCACAGCGCTGCCAACAGTGTAGAAGAACGAATTCCCGATCACTGGTCGCCCAACTGACGAGTCTTGGGCCAAGATGCAATTTGCGACCTGAATCGATGTGATGGCGACAACAGTGCGATTGGCTTCTGTCGAATTGTCGCCTTGACCGCTGCTGATAGAGCTTTCGGTCACCTCAAAAGAACCGACTTGGCGAAAGCCTTCAAGCTTCAGGACGTTCGGGTCGGCGAGCCCACAGATTTGAAGCGGTGGTGCAGTTGTACTTGAGTTGTGTACGCCCTGAGAGGCCTTCCGCTGAGGTCGATTCGAATGAGGGCCCCGATGCGTCAGTCGACGTGCCTGACACTATCAGAATAGACGCAAATACGTTCGTGTTGGGCGTCGTCACATTTCCGATTCCCGGCGAGTTTTCTTGAATCGCGCTGTAGTTCGAAGAAACGGCAACGATGGAGTCCCGGAAGTGTTCAGGAGTTGGTTCTGCAATACTTCGACGGGGAGGTACTGAGTCGCCCCACTATCACTTCCGTTGATACCAAGAAACACCCCACCACTGCCGCTGTTGCTGTCTGCAGTGGCAGCGCTGATAATCACTGAGGCGACAGAAAACAGCAGCGAGATGCGACGCAGTATCATGTGTTGCTGGAGTCCTGATACCTCTTTGCAGCGAAGAAAAAATATTGCTTTGTATCGATGAACTTGAGCTCAGGGGTGGGGGCCCAAAAACGAAAAGTGAGAGTGACAGACGTCTAGAAGAAATAACTCTGCCAGTTGTGAAGCTCGTTTTGGCCGTGTTGGCCGAGTTAGAGGGAGCTGACAGGATGGGATCTCATGCGCAGTCTCGTTTCCACCTCGTCGCAGTTGTAAGGGTTTGTCGTTTCATCAAACGGTAAATTTGGGTGGGTGGACCAAAACCGTTGAAGCTTGAGATCGTTGCGCTGAAACGACTACTGCGACGTTGTGAGGATCTGGGCAAGAATCACCTCAAAACCTGCCTCTCGGTCCGCAATGTGTGGTTTCAAGTGACAACAGCACTTGCTAACCGTCAGATTTCTAGCCCCTTATCACACGGGACAATGACAAAGTTTTGCACGATCAAGGCGGTCATAATCTGACAAATATCCCGATGCCCGGGATCAGTTTAAAAACTGACCAAGCGCCAGATTTAATTCAATCCGTAGTGTTGCGTAGCGCTTACTTCACTAACAGGAACATGTATGCTCTCTACACAGACGATTAATCTTCGCTGTTTGGTTCGAAGTAGCGGATCTGTATTCGCAGCTGATCGGCACGAGCGGCGACCGAAAACGTATTTTGCAGGAGAGTAGTTTGGTTGGCCAGCGGCACAGCGAAGCCTCGTAGCCACAGCAGAGCCCAGTTTTCATTTTGCGACGATCCACCACTCCTCAACCCATAAGCACCAGTAAGCAAATGGGGTTTTAGCGGACGTCGGCAGACACCTCATCGGACAAGTGCTCAAGCACGAGGACTAACCCATGGTGGACGACGACTACCTGCTGACGAACGAAGCGTACGTAGTGGTGGACGTCAAGTACTCGATGAAGGACAAGCGCTCAGTGGTCGACAAGAACCCGATGAAGGACGAGCTCTCGCTGACGGACAACTTGCTGACGGACGAGCACTCGTTGGTGAACAACTACGCGCTGGTGGGCAACTACCCGATGGTGGCCAACTACCCGCTGTCGGACAGCTAGTCGCTGATGGACGAGTACTGACCGGTGGATAAGAACTCACCGGTGGACAAGCACTCGTCGGTGGACAAGGTGAACAAGTACTTGGTGGCGGCGGACCCGTACACGGTGACGGACTACGAGGACGGTAACTTCAACTACGCGTACACCAACTACACACAACTGGATCCAGCGGATCTGGATCCAGGCGACTGTTCAGTCTTGGATTTGCTCGGTGTTGCTCTCGGACGAATGCCGGAAGCAGAACAAGGACGCGGTGACGAAGCAGCAGACTCAGCCAGTGTCCAAGTAGAAGCAATCGCTAATAAAAGTTGGGGCTGCGCGAGTGGCTCCGGTGCAGGGACGTCAGTTGAGTCCCTGTTGCCAGTGGTTGTTGACCTCTTTGTGCGTATGTATAGAGGACGACGCCTGTTGCTATACGACCATGAACGAGTACCGAAGCAAGTACTGCGCACGAAACCAGCGCCGCTTTCTCACCCCCACTTCGTGGAGATCGCCGTTAATTCACTCCTCTACCCGCTCAGAATTGAGCGTGGCCCCCAAAACTCTCGGATGGAAATCGATATTTGTATTTGTATTTGTATTTGTTGCGGTTTAGGCGGCTATCTACTCCCAGGATCGCGCTCAGCGGCAACCCCACCTATAGATGGCATGCCCAAGTGGCTCGTACATATAAAATCACGGTGAAAACCGTGCTCAACGGGAGGCGCTTGCCATGATCATGCTCCAGCTCAAGATGCTGTCACCCCCAAAGTTGCAAAATCTACCAATATTGTGCACGAGCAACTTACAACATTGAGATACCCGTATGATGCCACCGGCCGAGCTGAATCAACTGGCCTCGACCACCGGTTTCTTGAGTGCCTGAAATGTCTGCTAAACGGTCGAATTATCCCAGCAACGGTATTTTTAAGTGGTTAACGATGATTACCAAGAGGTTGCTGGGTTTCGATCTAAATTCGCAGTTCGAAGAACTGTCGATTGGGGAAGGTTTTTGGATGTCATCGAACGACATTCACGCTACATCCGTAGCTGCTCTCCCAGCGGATGTTATCGAACAACATTCGCACTACATCAGACAGCACTCAATCGAATCTGGTCTTACAGGTTTTGATATATGCCTATTCGCCTCGGAGCTTCTTTTCCTTCTACAGTAGATAGATGTCAGATGTCCACATCCCACCTGAGGAGGAAGTAGAGCTCCATCACATATATATTAGGTGAAAAAGAATGCAATTCTTGCTATTACACATATGAGACGGTTTCAAACGAAAAAATGCTTACGAACCTAAGTACGAATCGCGACTAAACCGCATCAAAGGGACTTGTCTTGTGCTTCGTATAAGCCATCGAACGCCCCAAAATGTTAAGAACTCGAGGAGTTACATCGGTCTAGAAAAATATCTCCATTTTCGGACCCCCTAAATTCCCGATTTTATTTGGGGCGTGTGACCTCAATATTTTTCCAATTGTAACGTATTACATGTCAAATAACTTAGTTTCAGAAAGAGACTATGCTACTGTAGACTACACGGCGGCCACGCAGCCGGTGAACGGCGCACACCAGGGATGAAGCGTCCCTCAGTTATGCTATCTCTCTTCCTGCATATTCTGGTACTGTACGGCACTTCTAGTTGTACCCATTTCACGATATGAGCAAACAGCTGCTTAAAGTGCCATGTTTGAAAAAATGAGAATCCGAAAAGATCAGCCCGAACGATTCGTCTCCGAAGACGCATCTTTCGCCTAATCTTAGTCGCATTTTTTTGTAAAAATAAATCGGATTTGTGGCTACTTTGAAACCCCTATTGGAATCGCAAGAGGCGGACCCGCTAGTGCAGTGATCTGAATTGCATGGGCTATCACGGGTTGAGCCCCACCACCCTGTTTCGCATGCACCACATGAAGTAGTGATACCCGAGGGGTGTACTTGACCTTACCAGCCTTGCAATTCGGTGACGTGCACGGCTTACTGCAAGTCGCTTCATACCTGCCCTCTTCACATGATCTACACAAGGTGGCTTCCCCTTGGGAGTTGCAGGTGTGCAGTGGCCAGGATCGCATGGTTTGCCACACGTTAGACCCCACCATCCCGCTTCGCATGATCCACACAAGAGTGTGAATCCATTGTCTGCGGTACATTTGACAGAACCGATTTTACAGTTTCGTGCGGTGCATTGCTTGCTGCAAGTAGATCCATAGCAGCGCTGCACGTGTATGAATCATGATCGAATGGCTTTCTTCAGTAATATTGTATTGTCATAACTGTGTTAAAAAATTCGTAGTGCCGCAACCCAGATGCGTAGGCGGGTTTTGCAAAAAATATCAAAAAAAATCACTTGGTTGCGCTCGTAAACAGAGCTTAGGAGTCCACAAGCGCTACCGGTAGTGTTGAGGAAAAGATACTGCTGTAAGTATTTTTGTCAATGGGATCGAACATCTCTTGTCTCCGTTACTGGTTTCGAGTAAACGGCTCGGAGAGAGAATGCACTGATCGCGTGCCCGCATGTCGTCCGTTGACCCAGGCGCACAATGGTGTCTTGCATGGATTTACAGGTCAACACCGTTGATCAAGAACATATCTCGCTAACGGAAAGTAAGAGGCACGTGTAAAATATAAACCCGACCATGCAGTAATCTAACTTATATGGGTTGGTAGAACGGTGGTTGCTGACTGCCTAGAAGGCACCGCTCCCCTCCATAACTGGGTAAACGGACAATGTGTTTATCAGAAACCAGTAGCGAAGACACGTGATGCTCAATCGCATTGAGATTCTCCGTGGCTGGTATACTTTCCCCAACGCCTCCTGATGTATGAGTCCCTGAATTCTATTTACATGCGGCTAGCTGTTGCTTGACAAGCAGCTTCCCATTTCGGGGTTTCAAGAACTTACCACCTAACATGTGCGCATTTCGTGCAAGAATGGACCTCAGGACTCGCGTAAACTTTACATAACGTTAAGACCGCTTCATCCCAAGTTGAAGCCAAACCATGAACAACACAAATCGAACTTAACCGAATTCTCAAAATTAGCGCAACATAGCGACCATAAAGCACTGGTCGATACGAGTACGAATACGACGATAGCCATGCCACGCCGCCGCCTGCTGCAGCTCGTGCCTCGGCGCTCGCTGCTGCTGTCCGCGCCCTCCTCAGCCCTCCAAGCCCCCTCGCGCGCGCGCCTGTACCGCGTGTCCTCCGCGTCCGACGACGGGTCCAAGACGCGGCGCGGCCCGAGCAGCAGCAGCAATCAAAGCCGCGCGCTGAGCCAACTGGTGCTGGCGCTGCGCACGTTCCACGTGCTCGAGAGCCACTTCGCCGTGCCCTTCAGCTTCGTGGTGCCGCGCAGTGACGACTGGCCGCGCGAGCTGCACCAGCTGCCGCTGGGCGTCAAGGTGCACCGCTTCATGCAGTCGCTGAGCAAGGGCAGGGACAAGCACAAGCAGGCGGCCGAGCAGCTGCAGGAGCTCGAGGCACTGGGCTTCCCGCTGCACTCGTGGCAGGAATATCAGTTCCAAGAGGTCTGTCTGCCGGCGCTCAAGACGTACGCGCAGCAGTACGGAGACCTGTTCGTGCCCCAGAAGTTCGTGGTGCCCGACGATGACGAGGACGAAGAGGGGGCGGAGCTCTGGCCGCGGGCCACGAGGGGCTACAAGCTCGGCCTGGCCGTGGCCAAACTCCGCAAGCAGGTGCAGCAGCAGAGACAGAGGGACCAGCAGCTTAAGGACAAGAAGAAGCAGGCGCCGACCTCTGCGGCGCTGCCGCCGCTGCCCAAGAACCAGGTGGACGCGCTGAACCAGTTAGGCTTTGTGTGGAGAGTGAGAGACACCAAGTGGTACCAGTTCTTCCTGCCCGGACTGCGGCGCTACAAGGAGCTGAACGGCAATGCTGATGTGCCGCTGGCGTTCACGATCCCTCCCCATGACGAAGACCCGAGATGGCCCAAGGCGCTGGAGGGGTATATGCTGGGACGACATGTGTACATGGTGAGGTCGGGCAAGTACGCGACACAGGTGAGGGACAGCAAGCAGGAGCTGGACGAGCTGGGCTTCTCGTTTAGACTGGTGGATAAGGTCTGGGGAGAGAGCATCTTCCCTGCGCTCGAGGTGTTTTCCCATCAGTACGGACACTGCGACGTGTGGCAGGACTTTGTGGTGCCCTCTGGAGAGCCCTGGCCCAAGGACTCGTGGGGACTGAAGCTTGGAGACACGGTGAAGAATATTCGACGTGGAGCGTACGTCTCGCAGGTGGAAGCGGCTCGCAAAGAGCTCGACAAGCTTGGGTTCGTGTGGAACGCGCGCCATCGCGTAGAGAAGACCGTGCGCAGTATCGTGATCCCGGCCCTGACGACGTATCGAAGGCTGCACGGCAGCGACGCTCTCGTGACCACGGACTTTGTGGTGCCCGAGCGCGACCCGAGTTGGCCGGTGCTCACGCGCGGCTTCAGACTCGGCCAGTGGATCACGCGCGTCCGCTCCGGTCAGATTGCGTTCCCGTCCAAACTACGCGCAGAGCTGGACAAGGTCGGATTTGTGTGGCGCTCCAACGACCAGCGTTGGAATGAGGTTCTTCTGCCCGCGTTCCGTGCGTACGCCGAGCTGCACGGCGGCACGTGTGCGTCAATGTCCACGAAGTTTTCTGTGCCGCCGGAGTCCCCGTATCCACGCGCAGCATGGGGCGTAAATCTTGGCGGTGCCTTGTGGCATATTCGCAACGGCGACTCGTACGTGAACTGTGAAGACAAGCAGCGCGAGCTGCGTGCTCTTGGGATTCTGGCCGATGACGCGGTGGCATGAAACAAGACGTAGCACCCAGCTGAAGCTCGGTCTGATGATAGAACTGCACTCATCATTAACTACTTATCAACAATTAGAGACGTTCACGTTGTGGAATGTAGCTTCCATCCAGCTCGGGTTTTACTAAGTTACAAGTACGCGGCGACTGCTTTGCTGGCAGTGCACGCGCGCCGCTGGGATGGTCTGGCCGTTGGTCTCGAGTCGGAAGGACGGGAAGCGTAGCTGGCCTGTCCGAATAGCCAGAAGCCTCTTCTGCGTGCTAAACTCCCGCCGACGATCGTTGTGGGCGCCCGACATGGGGCTGAAGCTGAAGCGCTCGAGCTGTTTGCCCACCAGAATCCAGTCGCGCTCGCTGCTTTCGTTGAGACACAAAGCCAAAACACTTGTATCATGCTCCGCTGCCGCCTTGTTGAGCTCTGATACCTCCTCTCGCACGTAAACCTGGAACGTGACAGGCTCGCTCGCTGTGGTTTCGACCATTTCGCCTGTGAACGTGTGCTCGACTTGCTGCCCCCTGGGGACCACGTCGATTCGATAGCGTTTCCCTTCAACCTCTGTTAACGCTATTCGCACTGCCATCGTCTTCTGCCAAGTCTTTTCGTCACCGTATTGGAGGTGGAGTTGAAGCGAGCAGAAGCTGTCGCTGGCCTCCTTCTCGAAATCCGGGGAGCAGGCTAGTGTGAATGCGAGATACACACAGTCGTTGGGGCGCAGTACAGTGCCTCGTAATTTGGTGTTCGGGTCTTGTTGCACGGATAGCAGCCGCGTGTTTGAAGTGGATAAACCGCCCAGTTCTCCAGGAAGCAGTAGCGCATAGTCTCGCAGGGTGACCGAAATGAATTGGTTGCACTTGAGCGCAATGGACACGAATATCCTCGAGCCTACGCGTTTCAGGCGAATCGTCTCTGTCAGCGGCTGTACAACACGGAAGGTTGATTCGGCGCATCGTATCTCCGTTGTCGATGTGGGCACACTCGCGTTGATACTAACCCCGCGTTGGTATCGAACATTCGCATCAATCGTAAAATTGAAATCGCCGCCATCATCATCATCATCTTCTTCTTCTTCTTCTGGCTCATTGCTGCGGGATTTGAGGACGTCACTTGGAGGCACCAACAGAGATACGTCGTAAGTCAGGAAACTTCCGGGGCGCAGCGGCGGCAGGGCCACACAAAGTTTACTGCAATCGACACGATCGTTCGCCTCGCTGCTCTTCGTATTCTTCAGTTCCGCGTCGCAGCCACGAAGTCGAACTTCAATTAACTGGAGACCACACGCCTCCTCGTCACAGTTCTCACCCTCATCTCCAATTTCTTCTTCTTCTGCTTCTTCTTCGGGGTCTTGGGGGGCAGTCTTATCCCAATCCTTACTGTTTGTTCGCCTGAAAACGCGCAGTTCAAGAGTGCCATCCGCCACGTTGTCTTCGTTTGCCTGGATAGAGACCGTCACTGTCTCAACTGGGGAATAAGGCCTCGGCATCAGCAGTGGGACGCCATCAATAGCAACTTGAACGGTGCTTTCTTTTGCAGCAATCTCAAACGCGGCAAGACTGAGAGCGCTCGGAGGAAGCAAGTTAAACGTACTGCCCGCAAGAACGCATTCGATTCTTGTGCAGATGTACCGCCCCACCGGAACACCCGAATGTAGAAACACCAGATTGATCCCAGTTTTCTCGTCGAGGTGGACGTCGTTCTCCTCCAGTAGCACTTCGGTGATTTGTTCGGACACTTCAAAAGCATCACACGGCGGCTGATCGGCTACAGCAACAGTATTTGAGCTGGGAGTGGATGCTTCTCCGGAGATCGAGGCATCATGATCCACCAGTTGTATCTCTGTGAACGTATCCTCGTGGCCTCCCTCAATCGCTACCTCAGCCTTAGCTTCTTCATTGAGGACGGGGTTGTCAACCAGCTCTGGTGTTTCCACCAGAACATCATCGGGAGATGCGCTTGACTCGTCTGGTAACATCGATGTCTGAAGAGCTACAACTCGCTCAAATTGAATGCGCACCTTCTCCAGGTGCACTCCCGCGGGAAAATCGTTAGTGACACCCAGTGTGACGCGGATATCTCCATGCTCCAATGCACTACCGCTAGTTTGTGTTGTCTCGACAGCCACAGTCGGCCTGAAAAGCTCGCCCATATTCATCCTGGACGCACTCTCGATGGCGCCGTCGTCTCCATCCGTGTCAGGTGCATCATCCTTCGCGGCATTCTTCCCTAGACTTGTAACGAGGGTGTGCATAAGTTGCTCCATCTCCTCCTTAGTGACACCAACATTCTCCTCTTGTGCGAGTTGCAGCATGCTAAAACAAGCCGCTACAGCCTGGGTAGACCGGCCCAGAGCCAATTCTGCACGACAAATGCTGCGCACGCACGCACCGAAGATTGACCACCATCCGTCCTCCTCACTTTGCCGCGCAAGCGAGCGCAGTAGCCGCGACGCGCTTTCATATTCCCCGCGTGCGAGATGGTAGCGCGCGCACTCTCCACCAAGAAATACCGCAAATCGGTGCCGGCCCGACTGAGAAAAGTGCATCGAAGCCAGATGCGATACCTCGGAAAGACAGCGCTCATAGGAGTCGCACACTTCAGAGCGTTGCCATTCTGGGGCCACAAGCACTTGTTCCAATTGTCGATACCACGCCGAAGACGCTTCAGCCTGATCTGCACCACCCCCAGTCACACTCGAAAATGAAACACGTAGGTCTGATCTGTTCCTGTTGGATCTTGCATAGTGTTTCAGCATCCGTCGTGCGAGATACAACACGTTGCCCAGAGCACGGGACATGTTCTCAACAGGAACCGCCTGTGCTACTTGCACAGACACGCTGGAGGCAGTCCACTCGTCATCACGACCGCTCCACGAGAGCTCACAAGCGTACGCCACTTCCAGGCACGCACCCACCGTCCAAAGGAACGGCTGGTGCCAGTCTAAAGTGCCCTCCGCGGCCATTTCCATCAGCTCCACAAGAAAAGACTCGATGAACGAGCTCGCGCGCTGCAGCAGTTGAGGGAAGCTGCCCATGACGTAAAGCGTGCGGATCTGCCTACAGAAACAGTAGAGCGAGACGAGTCGGGCCGACGCGCGGTTCGAGGCGATCAGCTGCTGCGTCTCGCTAAGGTCCAGCGCTAGCTACAATACGAGAAGACACAACGCGCGCATCAATTAAGCATTGGCTGTATGCCACAGACAACCCACAAAAATCCTCCTCTCACCGGCGACTGCGTGAAGATGGCGTCTTGCGCTGTGAACGAGCGCTTGCTCCCGTCCCTGAACGTCTTTTTCTCGGTCTCGTTCAAGTTCACAAAGATCGCGTCCAGCTCGTCCAACTAAGCAACAGCAACAGCAGCAGCAACAGCAGCAGCAACAGCAGCACATTAGACCAACCATCACCTCTCCATCCACCCGCTTCCCCCCTTACATGTCGAATGGCATCGTCCTGCAGATACATTTGCTGGTACATGAGCGCGAGCCTCTCCTTGGCCAGGAAGAAGGCGCCAAAGTCCCAGCCCGCGATGCTGCGCTTGGCGTCCAGCACGCGCAGCCGCTCCTCGTACTGGAAGCAGCGGGTCTGGAACGCGTCCATGACGCAGCGTCTCAGCCGCAGCAGCAGCTCCGTCCACTGGGACTCGTGCTGCTGCTGCTGGCCCAGCACGCTCGTGCCCTCCAGCGTGTCGATCTTGCACACGCGCTCCTGCAGCGCCGAGGCGGCGGCCGCGTAGGACGCGGAGGCGGAGGCCGCTCCGATGGCGCCGCCCAGCAGCGCGCCGCTCCTGCGCGGGTGCGCGAAGTCCGCGCGCAGCCGGTCGAAGATCTTCCTGTACACGGGGTTGGGCTGGCCGCCCGCGGCCTTGGGGCGCGTGCCCAGGGGCACGTACAGCACGAGCCACTCGACCTTGGCGGCCGTCATGGCGTCCACCCACGCGGCCAGCGGCGGCCGCACCGCGCTCTTGTACGCGTCCAGGTCCTCGCACTTGACCAGGTACACGCACGTGGGCGGCGGGTCCTGCGAGGCTCTGGACACCTCCACGAAGTGCAGCGGCAGCTGCTCGATGCGCTTGGTGACGCCCACGAGGTTGCGCCACTCGATGGCGCGCAGCGGCAGCCGCTGCGACAGTGACGGCGCCACGAACTGCCACACGCCCCCGTCGTCCGCCACGCCCACGCGCAGCCCCGGCGACAGCAGCTCGCGCGTGAACTGCGGCGCCACCGACGCGTACAGCGACGCCATGATCGGATGATACCCGAGAACGCTGTCAAAACTGGGTAATTGTGATAAAGTTACTCGTAAAAAGGTAAAGATTAGGAAACGTTTGGTGATTTGCGTGAATTAGGGGCAAGTTGAAGTGAGCTGGTTCCAACGGGTTCAAGTTGATCGCCTCACGTCTTCTTCAGCTGCCAGTTAAGTCCCTCCTCACTCCTCAATTTGCAAGCCAACCAGCCATGGGCGCTAAGGCGAGCAAGAGCGCGGCTTCGCAGCCGCAAGTGCCGAGCAACTGGAACGCGGCGCAGATGCCGTCGCAGGCGGGCAAAGTGGCCATCGTGACGGGCGCCAACTCGGGGATCGGCTACGAGATGGCGCTCGAGCTCGCGCGCAAAGGGGCCGAGGTGGTGCTGGCCTGTCGCAACGAAGAGCGAAGCTTGCAGGCCCAGGCCGACATTGTGGGGCAGTTGGCGGCCTCGGCCGACGCCGGTAGCGTCAAGTTCATGCAAGTGGACGTGGGCGACTTGAGCAGCGTCCGCAACTTCTGTGAGGAGTTCAAGAAGGCGTACAGTCGACTGGATATCCTCATCAACAATGCGGGTATCGGTGGTGGCACGTACACCAAGACGGTGGACGGGTACGAGCTGGTTTTCGCCACAAACTACTTGGGGCACTTCTTGCTGACGACGCAGCTCTTCTATTATCTCAAGAAAAGCGCGCCGGCGCGGGTCGTCTCTGTGAGCAGCTTCCTCCATTGGTATGGGGCTTTGGTCTTTGACGAGGACAACATCATGGCCAGCAATGAGAATGAGCACGGCCAACTCGGGACGTACTCGGTCTCGAAGCTCTGTCTCCTGCTCTTCACGAATGAATTGGACCGTCGTCTCAAGGCTGCGGGGGTCAACAATATCATCGCCGCAGCGGCGCACCCTGGCTACTGCAACACCAAGATCATGAAGAAGACAGCGGAGCTGAACAGCAGCTGGTACTGGTGGCTGTTGTACCGCACGTCTGCCATGTTTCCGCCTCAAAGTCCACCGAAGGGCGCGTTGCCGGCGCTGTACGCTGCCACGGCTGACGGTGTCAAGGGTGGAGACTACTTTGGCCCCAAGTACTTTGAAGTCTATGGCTACCCGATTCGCGAGGATCCGTCAAGCCTGAGCAGGTCCGAGACGGCCGCGGCCAAACTTTGGGCGTACAGTGAGGAGCTGACTCACACCAAATTCGAGGTCGAGAAGTAAGAGACATCTGCAGACTCCGCCCTGGCTACTCGATTTTGATCGATTGACGTTGGCAGTCAAGGAAAATTATTCCATCTAAGCACTGCACGATGCGTGAAAAAAAACGACGTTTAGTAGCCGGCGACTGTCTTTCAAAGTCCCACAAAAGCAAGCAGTCTTTGAGTATTCCACCTGAGTTTACCATCCCCGATTGCCACGCCACGTTGACATTACTTTGCAACAGTTCAACCCAGATATTAAAAAAAAAGAAACGTTATGCCTGGCAAAGTGAGGGGGGGGCAGATTTTGCTGATGGCCGACAAGTTCTATAGATAAACAAGTCGACAGTCGACCCAAGCAGAACGGTGGCAAAAAAAGAACTTCACGTTGGGGCTTGTTACCACCGCCGCTTCTCCGCCAAAACTTCAAACCTGACTCAGCCCTCCACTTAACGCCACGGCAAAGCAATGGGAAACATGAACACTCTTTGTCCGCCGGTGCCTGACAAGTGGGAGGCTTCTCAAATTCCGTCACAGAGTGGCAAGATTGCAGTGGTGACAGGCGCGAACTCGGGTATCGGCTACGAGACTGCGCTGCAGTTGGCTCGAAAGGGGACGCACGTGATGCTGGCTTGTCGCGACGAAACCAGGGGAAGACAGGCCGAAGCAGACTTGCAAAAGGTGTTGACGACTGAGAGCTCCGCTGGAACCGTCGAGTTCATGCGCTTGGATGTCAGTGACCTCAGCAGCGTTCGGCACTTTTCAGATGAATTCAAGAAGACTCACGACCGGCTCGACTTACTCATCAACAACGCTGGAATAATAATGCACCGTCACGGATTGTTAGTGTGAGTAGTTTCGTGCATCGACAGGCTTGGCTGAGTTTCAACGAGAACCGGGTGATGGCCCCCAACGAAAAGACGTACGCACAATGGTCCAACTATGCAAACACCAAGCTGTACAATATCCTTTTCACCATGGAGCTGCATCGCCGTCTTCGAGCAAAGGGGATCACTGGCGTCACTGCAGCAGCTTGCCATCCAGGAATTGCGTCGACCAACCTCTTCACTGCACCAGCAACCGACAACCGAAGCTGCTTTTGGAAAATATTTTTCAAAGCTTCGACGGTGGTCCCTCATCAAAGTACGCAAATGGGGGCGTTGCCGACCTTGTATGCAGCTACAGGCGACAATGTCGCTGGCGGAGATTTCTTTGGACCAGGAAATCTTGGTACATTTTTCGGATACCCGCGTCGAGAAGAGCCGTCCAAGTTAAGTCGGTCAACAAAAGCTGCGTGGAAGCTTTGGGAGGCGAGCGAGAAGCTGGCGAAGGTCAATTTCTGCTTTGAATAGTAAAATAGCAGCGTTGATAGTACGCTCTGCTTCGTGCCCACGTACATTCATATTCAAGCTGATATTACCAAGAAACTTACAAGAAAGAAAAAAAGTGTGCATTGCATCCGGCCGTCCTCCTCCATTCGAGAGGCGTCACCTCATTTCTCCACCTCGAACGTCACGTGCGCCAACTTCTCGCTAAACGCCCACAGCTTCTTAGCTGCCGATTCCGACTTGCAGAGCTCTGCCGGTTCATGACGAGCAGGTGAGCCCGTGTTCCTGTCCTTCGGTCCAATATAGTCCCCTCCAATGACCTCCTTCCCCGTAGCAGCGTACAGCGTCGGCATCGCCCCCATCTCGGGAGTTTTTCCACCGGGTAGCAGCGTCACGATCTTGATCAGCAGCCAGTAGATCCAACTGTTGTTGGCCGCCGCCATGTTCGAGCCCAGACTCGTGGCCACGTACCCCGGGTGGCAAGCCACCACCGTGACATTGTCAATGCCCGCGGCTTTCAGGCGTCTGTCGAGCTCTTTGGTGAACAAAATGTTGCACAGCTTGCTCTCCCCGTACGTCTGCACCTGGCCGAAGCGGTCCTCGCTCGTGACCATGATGTCGTCCTCCTTGAAGCTGGCCTCGCCCCTCTTGTGCAGGCCGCTGCTGACGTTCACCACCCGGGCCGCGTCACTGCGCTTCAAGCGCTCGAACAGCTGAGCAGTGAGGGCGAAGTGGCCCAAGTGGTTGGTGGCGAACATTCGCTCGTAGCCGTCAGTGGAGACGGCGTAGGACCCGCCCATGACGCCGGCGTTGTTGACCAGCATATCCAGTCGGTCGTGGCTCTCCTTGAACTGCTCCGAGAACTTGTGAACGCTGCTGAGGTCGCCCAGATCCAACTGCATGAACTCCACCGTCCCAGCGTCAGGGGTGGAGGATAAAACATCACGCAGTTTGGTCTCCGCTGCACGACCGCGCTCTTCACTGCGGCAGGCGAGAACCACGTGCGCCCCTTTCGTCGCCAACTGCAGCGCCGTCTCGTACCCGAGGCCCGTGTTGGCGCCCGTGACGACGGCCACTTTGCCCGATAGGGACGGGATCTGAGAGACGTCCCAGGCGTCGGGAATCGTGGGAGCTTCTTCGGACATTCCTGACCAAGAGGGTGTTGTGTAGAGGACATAGATTTGCTAGGGATGCTATGGGCCGACTCTTCTCGGGGGGTACTGGGTAGTTAGTTTACCACGGGAGCTCTGCGCCGGGCATCGTGGGGTCTGCGTTGAGGAACTTGCCCGTGTCTTTCAACGTCATGTTGGCAACCAGGTCGGCTATGGCCGTCGCGACGTCCGCGGATTTCAATGGACCTTGGGCCCGTGAGCACCGTGTCGACGTATCCGGGGTGAACCGCCACGACCGCGATGTTGCTGTCGCGCAGGTCCACAGCCAACGAGCGCGTGATCATGTTGAGAGCCGCCTTGGACGTGCTGTAGGCGTACTGGCCGCGGAAGAAGACGGTGTTCTTGTCCGTGTTGCTGCTGAGGCTGCCCAGAAGTGACGAGAGCTGCACCACGGACGCGAATCCATTCAACTTCGCCGCGAGCTGCAGGTTGGACTGCAGTGCATTCGTGACGAGGAACAGACCCACCGCGTTCACCTCGAAGGGTTTCACCAGCGACGCCTTCGTGGGTGCCACGATCTCCGTGAGCCACCCAGTGCCCGCGTTGTTGATGAGCAGGTCGATCGGGACGTCCTTCAGCTGACGGGGCGCCTCGTTTACCGAGTCCTCATCGCTCGTGTCCAACGTGACGATCTTGAACGGTGACAAGGCTGCGAGCTAGCAAAGCGGGGAGATAAGCGTTAGTGGAGTGTGGACTTGGCCGCTGGAGTCTACTATCGACTACCTTGTCAGCGTTGCTGGTAGCACGAGCCGTGCCGATGACGTTCCAGCCAGCCTTGGTGTAAAGCGTAGCCAAGGCGAGACCAATGCCTCGTGTGCTTCCAGTGATGAGGACCGTTTTCTTTGTGGAGGGCATCGTAGAGCTTGGTTGGCAAGATGTAGTAGTGTCTACTTGAAGGGGTTTTCAGGAATGAGTTGTACTATTGTGGACGCTAGCTTTGGTGAGAAGGCAAGGCAACCAGGGGCCTTGCATGCGTTTCAATCTGCCGCCTAGACCGCAGTCGTGCGTGGAATAATCGATCACGGTGACCTGAAGCAATAATAATCGTCCCCTTAACGCCATCGAGTCCAATTAATGCTTTTCGCCTCACTTGGTCACATCGAATGTGAGGTGGGTGAGTTTCTCGCTAAACGCCCATAGCTTGTTGGCGGCGACCTCGGACTTGCTGAGGTCCGACGGATCCTCGCGCGTCGGAGAGCCATACAACTCCAGGTACTTGGGTCCGTAGTAGTCTCCGCCCTGAACATTGTACGACGTAGCAGCGTACAGCGTCGGCAAAGCCCCCTTCTGCGGACTCTGCACCGCCGCCACGCCAACGCTGCGGTACATCAGCCACCACAACCAACTGTCTCGGTTCGTATCGGCCCCTTTTGCGTGGATCTTGGTGTTGCAGTACCCAGGGTGCGCCGCAGCCGCGACGACGTTGTGGATCCCCGCAGCTTTCAGGCGACGATCCAGCTCAATGGTGAACAGGAGGTTGCACAACTTTGATACCATGTACGAGCTGATCTGCCCGTACTCCTTTTCGTTGCAGGCCATGATCTTGTCCTGGTCGTAGATGAAAGTGGCGTGTCGATGCAGGAGGCTGCTCACAGTGACGACCCGCGCCGATTTGCTTTTCTTGAGCAGGTCGAAGAGCTGAGCCGTCAACGCGAAGTGGCCCAGGTAGTTGGTGGCGAACTGCAGCTCGTACCCGTCGATGGTCTTGGTGTACGATCCGCCCACGATCCCAGCGTTGTTGATAAGCAGATCCAGTCCAGTGTGTGTCCTCTTGGAGTCCTCGCAGAACTTGTGGACGCTACTCAAGTCACTCACGTCCAACAGCATGAACTTGACCGACCCAGCGCCAGGAACGCCTGCAAGCTCTGCCTTGATATCGAGTTCAGCTTTGAGGCCGCGCTCTCGGTTGCGGCAGGCCAGCACCACGTGCGCTCCTCTACGAGCGAGCTCCAACGCTGTGATGAAGCCGATGCCCGAGTTGGCCCCCGTGACGATCACGGTCTTGCCCTTTTGAGACGGAATGTCATTCGCGCTCCAGCTACCGGGGGCTTGAGGCTGAGGAGTGCTCTTGCTGGGTCTGCCGCCCATGTTGTTTGTGCGTTGGGTGCTGGAGAAATCCAAAAGTGATGAAGAAGTCGCATAGTGGAGAAGGCACAACAGGGACGTGGACACTGGGAAAGGTTCTCCACAAGAGGTTCCAAGTCTCCAACGGTGTTGTAGTTTGATCTGCCAACTTCATGTCGCGCTGCTGAGTTTCTTGCTGAAAACAGTTTGTTTGCTTGACAATTCCTGCACTAAAGTCCCGACCATTTTGATGTTCATCTATTTCATGACACTTCTGCTACGGCCATGTCGGACACTTCTTCTCTTCATCTCACGAGCTCCTTACTTCTCGATGTCGAAGGACAGCTTGGCGAGTCTCTCGCTCAAGGTCCAGAGCTTCTTGGCTTCCGACTCGGACTTGCTCAGCTCGGACGGGTCTTCACGCACGGGGTAGCCGAAAGTCTTGAGGTGTTTGGGGCCGAAGAAGTCGCCGCCCTCGACTTCACTGCCCGTGGCCGCGTACAGCGTCGGCAGCGCGCCCATGGGGCAGCTCTGGCGCGGGGACCAGTCCGTGACCTTATACACGAGCCACCAGAGCCACCCGCCCGTATTGTTGGCGGACGCCGTGGCCAGACTCGTGGCCGTGATGCCAGGGTGGCAGGCCACCGAGGTGACCCCCTCCACCCCTGCGGCCTTGATGCGGCGGGCCAGCTCCTTGGTGAAGTGGATGTTGCTGAGCTTGGTGACGCTGTAGTTGTCCATCTCGCGGTACTTGTCCGCGCTCGCGACCATGATGTCGTCCTCGTTCCAGCTTGTAGCCGAGCGGTGCATTATGGAGCTGACGTTCACGACGCGAGACGGCGAGCTCTTCTTGAGCAGCGGGAAGAGCCGCGCCGTCAACGCGAAGTGGCCAAGGTGGTTGGTTGCGAATTGGCGCTCGTAGCCATCCGCCGAGAGGCCGTAGGCTCCGCCCATGATGCCGGCGTTGTTGATGAGCAGGTCCAGCCGCTCGTGGCTCTGCGTGAAGTCCTCCGAGAACTTCTTGACGCTGTTGAGGTCGCCCAGGTCCAGCTTGACGAACGTCACCTTGCCGGCCTCGGGGGTGGCCGCCAGCGTGTCGCGCAGCTTGGTCTCGGCCTCGCGCCCGCGCTCCTCATTACGGCAGGCCAGCACCACGTCCGCGCCCTTGCGCGCGAGCTCCAGCGCCGTCTCGTAGCCGATGCCCGAGTTGGCGCCCGTGACCACCGCGACGCGGCCCTTCTGCGACGGGATCTGCGAGGCGGCCCAGTGTTCGGGCACCGGCGGACGGGAACTCGAGTCGCTCATGGCCTGCAGTCAATTGTCGTCCTTGTGGCAGATTCCCAAATCGGAAGACCCCCCCCGTCCGGCGGTCTCTTCAACGGCGTCTGGTCCCGTTCATAGCCGCGAACGCGCCGAGCAATGGGCAACAGCAACAGCGTGGCCGCTGTGGATCTGCGTCCGCAAGTGCCGGACACTTGGAGCGCCGACGACATTGAACCGCAGAGCGGCAAGGTCGTGGTCATCACGGGCGCCAACTCGGGCATCGGCTACGAGACGGCGCTGGAGCTCGCGCGCAAAGGGGCGGATGTGGTCCTGGCCTGCCGCAACGAAGGGCGTGGCAAAGAGGCCGAGCAGACGCTGCGCGAAGCTCTAGCGTCCAATCCCGACGCCGGCTCGGTCGAGTTCAAGATGCTGGACGTGAGCGACCTCGGCAGCGTCAACAAGTTCGCGGAAGAGTTCAAGGCCACGCACGACCGCCTGGATGTGCTCATTAACAACGCCGGCGTGATGGCCGTCCCCTACGCCAAGACTGTGGACGGATATGAGCGGCAGTTCGCTACCAACCACTTGGGCCACTTCGCGTTGACGGCGCAGTTGTTCCCGCTCTTGAAGCAGAGCAGTGGTCAATGTGAGCAGCTTGGCTCACCTGGGTGCTAGGCTGGAGCACTTCACGTCTGGGTCGGGCACCATGCGCACAAGTGAGAAAGGTTACAACCCGGTGCCGAGTCGAAGTTGTGCAATCTGCTCTTCACCTTCAAATTGACCCGACGCCTTCAAGCTCAGCGTGTTGACGGTGTCTGCGTCTGCGGTGGCCTGCCATCCAGGCACAACACTCACCAACCTCGTGGTCCCTCCGGCCACGGAATGGGGCTTCTTCACCAGTCTCGTGTGGCGCTTTGGTCGAACCTTGCCGCTGACCCAAGACGCGCCCACCGGTGCACTCCCCACGCGGTATGCAGCCACCGCGCCTGATGTCGAGAGCAGCGACTACTACGGTCCCGGCAACCGCTTTGAAGTCTGGGGTCCGCCGAAGCGCGTCGAAGCAAAGCCGCTTGCTCACAGCGAGGCTGCCGCTCAAGCGCTTTGGGAGGAAAGCGAACGCCTCGCCAAGATCAAATTCGACGTGAAGTAGTCCACGGGTAGCGTCAGTAGGGGCCAAACAAAACCTTTAACAGGGATCTCGTTGCTCTAAGCGAATGGCCAGCTTACGCTCGCGTCTATTTTCCCACGAGGAAGTTGAAGATGTCGCCGTCTTGGCAGATGTAGTCCTTGCCCTCCGAGCGCAGCAGACCCTTCTCCTTGGCTGCGCGCATGCTTCCGGCCTTGACAAAGTCGTCGTATCCGACAGTCTCAGCACGGATGAGTAGCTTCTCAAAGTCCGAGTGGATCACACCAGCCGCTACAGCAGCCGACGACCCGGCGAGCACATTCCAAGCGCGCGCCTCCTTCTCACCAACAGTGTAGTAAGTCTGCAGCTGCAGCAGCTCCTGACTAGCGCGGATAACCTTCGTCAATCCCGTCTCGGTCAGGCCGCTCTCGTTCAGGTACTCCAGTTGACTCTCGTCATCCTCGAACGACGCAGCAGCCTCCTCAAGGGATCCCGACACCGTCAGACACACGCTTCCTTCCGCTTCAACGCGCTCACGCACGGCCTCCGTCATCTCGTTACCCGTGGCTGCATCATCCTCCGACACATTGCACAGGTACAGCGCCTTCTTCGCCGTCAGCAGCTGCAGACGCTCGAACTGCAGTTGCTCGTCGGGCTTGTCGAACGTCATGCCCTCCGCCAGGTTTCCATCCTCCAGGTGCGGCTGCAGACGCTTCAGCACCTCCAGCAACGACGGGATCGTCGGATCCGCCGACCTAACAAGCGACAACGTCACAAAACAACACAGTGAGTACCAGGTTGAACCCTTCCACCTGATCGCACAGACGCACTTCTTCTTCTTGGCGAGGTTGGACAAGCGCTTCTCCACCGTCTGCAGATCTGCCAGGATCAATTCGGTGCGGATCGTTTCCAGGTCGCGGATGGGGTCCACCGACTCGTCCACGTGGAGGATGTTGGTGTCCTCGAAGCAGCGGACGACGTGGGCGATCACCGCCACCTGCCGAATGTTGTCCAGGAACTTGTTGCCTGCCACAGTCAATCAGTTATTGGTCACTAGCCACAGCAGCATTGCAGTCCATTGGCGCTGCCACCCACCGAGTCCTTCGCCGTTCGAGGCGCCGCGCACCAGTCCAGCGATGTCCACGAACTCGAGCTAAAACACCAATGGAAAATATTCCGTCAGTTTGTCGCAACTTTTGCCTTGCAGATTGAATGACGCTGCGCCGACCTGCGTCTCGATGACGCGCTTGGACTTCTCCACCTCCGCCAGGTGGCGCACGCGCTCGTCGGGCACCGCCACGCGCGCCACGTTCGGGTCGATGGTGCAGAAGGGGTAGTTGGCGGCCTGGGCCACCTCGGTCTTGGTCAGCGCGTTGAAGAGCGTGGACTTGCCCACATTGGGCATGCCCACGATGCCCACCGACCGCTGGAAGCCGCGGCAGCCCGAAGGCGTGCGGGTCACTACGCGACGAATGTGCAGCATAGTTGACGGGACTTTGATAGTTGCTGAGACTTTTGTGAACCGTACGATTGCGTACCACGTTAGTGGTACGTTGGACAAAATACTTGAGATTTGTATGAAGATGGCTACATTTAGGTTTTGTCAAATTAACGTGACGGCTGCAACGTCGTCAGTACATTACTTTTCGACTTAGAACGACGTGATCGTGATGCTCTGCTGCAGCGTGTAGGTCTGGCCGGCCGGGAGCGGCTGCTTGACGCTGACGCGGCCAGGCTCGATGCAGACCATGTTCTTGTACTCCTCGTCGCCAAAGTCCTCGAGCTTCTTGGCGCGCTCGGCACCCGGGTTCCACACCACGGCGTCGGTCTGCGTCTTGACCTCGCCCTGGTTAGCCGAGCCGGTGATGGAGCCCGACTTCTCGACGGTGATAGTGCGGTCCTTGGTGTTGATGCCCTTGACGGTGGCCACGATTTGGTCGGGCGCGTCGAGGTACGTGTTGCCAGTCTGCACCGAGCCATTGAGCGTAATGTACTCGCGCGTCTCCGTCTTGTTGACCTTGGCCACCTGGTCGAAGTAGTCGACGCCCTTGAGGCCCGAGATGACCACGCCCTCGTCCTGCGAGTTGTCGACCCACAGGTAGTTGTGCAGCAGCGTGTGGAACTCGATCTGCTGCGTGAACGTGTTGTGCACGTGCAGGGCCGTCTCGAGCTGGTTGGCGTGCAGCTTGACCTCGTACTCGAGCTCGAACTCGACGGGCCACATCGCGCGTGTCGAGTTGCTCGCCGCCATGGTGAACTTGGCCACCGTGGGGCTGTTCTTGTCCTTGGCCTCCTCGTGGCTGGCCAGCGTCCAGTTGGTGATGCGCGCGAAGCCGTGGTTCGGGAAGCCGGGCGCGCCGCCAAAGTTGGGGAACACAACGGGGATGCCGCCGCGGATGGGGTTCACGCCGTCGAGGAACGAGTCCTTGGACATGAACAGCACGTCCATCTTGGGGTCCATCGCCGCGCGGAACGACTTGACGTGAGCACCGAAGAGGAACACCTCGGCACTGGAGCCGTACGGGTGCGAGAGCTTGACGGTCTCCAGCTCGGCGTTGGCAGAGGCCAGCAGGGCCGAGACGAGAGCTGCGGTCTTGAGCATGAACGAGTAAACCATTGGTCCGGTTGTGAGCTTGCGGCCGGGGAGATTAACCCTTACAGTACCGTCGGTCTCGATGGGCGTATAGGACCTATACGCCCATCGAGCCAATCGTATTCAAGAAAAAGTGAGAATATAGGTCTCAACAGACCTATAGTATAGGTCGGTAACAGACCTATAGTATAGGTCTGTTGAGACCATACTAACAGACCTATAGTATAGGTCTGTTGAGACCATACTATAGGTCTGTTACCGACCTATACTATAGGTCTGTGAGACCTATGGGGAT